AAACCAATTTATAAATGTTAAATAGTTAGAAACTAGTTTCAGATCATTTAGTATGTAGGGCTTGCACTAAAAACAACACACGGTGGTTTTAAACTAATTAAATATGTCACCCATAGGTGACATACCCTAACATTCTTAATACCTAAATTCTTCAAGACAGAAAACAGTGCCAGTTTTAAGCTTCACATTTATAATGTGTTATGGAGGAACGCAGGACAAGAGTCCAACCCAAGGGGAAGAATTTTGCTGCTGTTGGTCTCTGATCCAGTGCTGGAACGTAAGCTGGAACGCACATCTTCTGAGAAAGGTAACTCGCTGTGGTCAGGGCCTCACTTGGAGGAGTCTCCGCATCCTCCAGGGCCCTGCAGTCTCTCAGCTGACAGCAACGCTCCATGTCATCGGCCTGTCCCCTTGCTGGTATTGCTCCCCTTGGTTCCTTTTTCATCTTTGCTTGGCTGAAGCCAGGCCCTTCTTGAAACTGTAGCTAGAGTACTTCATCAGTCCTCTACCTTACCTCTCACCTCATATATTCTTAGATGGAGTGAATATATCCATACCTACATTAGAAATGCCTGGAAGACAGGCTTTGCATCTCAGCCTCAGTTACACACTCTTATCACAGTTGTACCCAGTGCCTTACTCATGGGAGACACCCAATAGGTAGTGACTTACTCATCCAACAATTATGTGTGAGTTTTTAAAAGATAGATGAATGAATAGATCTAAAGTTAGAACAGAAGGAAGGAAACCAGGTGCTTTTTATTATAACAAAGACAGCAAAGAACACAACTAGGGACAATCCGAGAAGTATTGTAGACATGAAGATGGAGACCTTGGCCCCATGTGTGAAGGGTAGGAGTTGGTACCATTCCTCAGCTGTATCCTTCCTGAAGCCAAATTGTTCTATGGACTGTGACATACGGCATTGCCATAATTGTTACAGGGAAGTCTTGTTATCCAGGAGCATGTGCTAACCAAAGAAAGCTGGCAGGAATACAGCCTTCTAGTTTCAGAACAGTGGTATCAAACTGTGACAAACTGTATTGTATTTTTATTTTATTATGTAGGAATTAGGTTTCAAAAACATCTGTGGATTTACTGTCCAATAAAAGAGCTGAATCAATAATTGCTGATACTGCAGTTACCTCCCAAAACATAAAATTATTTTCTCCCACCTCCTTCTCAGGGAACTTTACTTCCTATTTTCTAGGAATGGAGGGCAAATGTGTTCCAAAGCCTTAGGGTCCTGGGATGAGAGCATCATAAGCTCATTATGCCACTACCTTGTGATGCTGTTTTATAAAAGAAGGTAGGAGTCCATCCATAGGACATAGTCTGGCAAGTCAATGGACAAAGAAATTTTTGTTTAAAAAGATTAACAAGACAGCGAGTAGTCACTTGACAAAGCCACTCATCCATGTCAGCAAGAGCTGGATTTGCCTGTCACTTTCAGAAACACGTCTGGCACTGTGGCAGAGTCCCACTGTGCCCAGCTGGCTCTTAAGCGAAGACAGTGGGTCACTGGGAACCCACAGGGCCGCGTGTGAGCAGACATCCCTTCTCCCCAGCCTATTTAAGCACCAGTGGAGAATTTGGGGAGTATGAGTATTTTTCCAGTTGCCGTCTAAGGAACTTTCACTTCTAGTCCATCAAAACTTGATCAGTGTGACTCACACAGCTCCAGAGGTAGTTAGGAGGTAAGAGACACCTTTCCGGTGTCTTAGTCACAGCTATTTCCCAACGCTGGCTCCTGGCTGCTTTGTTTTAGCAAGAATTTTACTGTTTTCTAGATAATTTAAACATTTAAAAGATAATTCCTTTAGTATCAGGCATGTGGTCGGAATTTAACATATGACTATCGAATAAATATAGGGGTTTTTCACTCCATGTATGGAGGAGTTAAGCCTTACAGTTTTGCCCAATACAGTAAACCAAGAACCTTGAGGAATCAGAAGGTTTATGGATTCTTTTCAATTTCTTCCCCCCTAAAACGCCTCGACCAGGGCTGTGAACAGTGGTCACACGTGCACATATGGCTGCACAGGAAACGCTGTACACACAGGCTGTTGTGCGAGCTCACCGCACCCCCACTTAACCAGCTTGTAAGTTTTTCTACCACAAGTGTGACTTTTCCCTGAATGTGGAGAATACCGACATTATTATAGGAACTCAAGGAGAGAGAGAAAAAAACTACCCATGTTTATTTTGATGGTTGCTTAGCATGTTTGATTTTAAATCATAGCTATAGTTGAATAATTGATTGTCCTAGTAAGCAGACTTCTATCTAATCTTTTATCATAAATTAGACAGTATAATAGTGCTGTTGATTGAGAACCACCCACTGATCAGATAGTTTTCATTATTATTTAGGTTGTCATTTGCACTTGGCCCAGTCTGTCTTGATGTTGCCCATTTTCGTTCTATTCAAAGCCGTGAGTGTGAATTTTAATGACACCCAAGGCAATGAGAAACAAGGGTTCGAGAGTCAAGTGGAACATAGGCTTGGCCACTCATGAGATAGAGGAACTTTGGCCTGGTTACTCAATTCTCAGAACTTCATTTTTCTCAGCTATAAAATGAAGATAATAATAGCACACACCTTAGAGCTGCTGGAGGGATTATGTGACATAATGCACCTAAAGTATCTGGCTAATAATAATAGGCCTTAGAAAGCATTAGTTACTGTCCCCTGCCTCCCTGGGATTAATAATCCAAACATTCACATGGCACATACAGTGTCAGCTGATGAGCATTTGCCAGGGAACAAAACCACTTCCCTTCCATGGCCCTGAGGCCTGTGTGGCCAGCTCAGTTCCCTTGTGCTGGGCTTTGGATCCAGAGGGTTCCCCGAAGTCTGCATGCCTGGGGCTGTGTTGCCGTCTGATGGGCCTTTGGAAAGCAGCTGGATCGTGGGAGCTGTCGCTTCGTGGGTGGATTCATCTACCGATGGATTCGTAATTAACAGCAGTCGTGGAAGGTGGCAGAAGGCCCGGCCGGACCAGGTGAAGGGAGCAGATCCGGGCCCGCGCCCTTGGGAATTACCTGTCGTCCCCAGTCCCTTCTGCTCTGTCTCTCTCACGCTCCGGGCTTCCTGGCTGTTTGAGGTGAGCAGCTTTTCTCTGCTATGCTCCTCAGGATGCCCTTGAACATGCTGGCCTCACCCTTATTCCTCTCGTCGCCATGCTTCTCCCACGGCACAGCCTCCTCCACTCTTCTGTCTCCGGCCAGGTTCCAGAGTATTCTAGACCCTCCCTCTACCTGCGTACGTACATACGTAATCACTACTTAGCCTTCATCTGTCAGCTTAAGTGTCCCTCACGTGGCAGTACTTTCCCTAACACCCCTCCTCAAGATTACGCATCCTTTTATGCTCCCTCGTGTGTCCAAGACTTTCTCTATGGTGGTTATCATATTCTTAATTACACACTTTTCCATAATTTTTGTTATCAACCGAATTGTGCTCCCCCCGTTCGTGTGTGAACCCCCCTAACTCCCAGTACCTCTGAATGACTGTATTTGGAGACAGGACTACTAAAGAAGCAACGTAAGTTAAAACTGAGGGGGCCCCTATCCATTTGGACCTGTGACCTTATAAGAAGAGATTAGGACACAAAGAGAGACACCAGGGACGTGTGCACAGGAGAGGACTACAGGAGGACACAGGAAGAAGCCAAGGAGAAATCAAACCTGCTGACACCCTGATCTTGGACTTCCAGCCCCCAGGCTGTGGGAAAATAAATGTCTGTCCATGAGCCAGCTAGACTTGGTATTTCACTATGGCAGCCCAAGCCAGCCAGTACATACTTAAGGCCTGGCTCCCTCCCCTGGACTGGGAGTTGCACAGGATGGAGAATGTGCCTTCATTTCTCCACTGAAATCTCTGTGCCTAGTCGAAGAAGAACCAGTGATGTCTGGTCTAATTCATAAGTTCATGAACAAATGAATGACGCAGCGCTACGTCAGTGTTATGCTGAAAACTGTCTTCTAGGTTCTCCTAAGAGATTGACAGCAGACATGGTTAGCTTTTATTTGGAGAAGGCAAGAACATGCAGACAGCAAATTTCAAACCCTAGCTTGCTGAAAGGGTTCTGAAATGTGTCACTGCAGTGGGGACTACTGGGCATCTCAGGCACGAGACCTGCAGGTGGTCCTCAGAGGTCTGCTGACTTTCCTCAGGGTGTGAGTGCCAGGGCAGAATCAATCGCATATGCAGGGCCAGGCTACAGGCCTTGGCTCCCCTGCAGGATCCTAGCCTGGTGCCTCAAAACTGGGATCCAAACCTGCTATGAGAAAGGCTGTCAACACCCAGAGTCTCAAGCTAGTGTTTGGTGGTCCTGGGAAGCCAGATGCTACCCACGTATTTCCAAAAATGACAGACACCAAGCTCATGACTGGTGTAAGCTGACCCTCTGGGGAAGTCTAGGGGCCCCATGGGATGTACTTGGAGTTATAGGGGCATTTGAGGTTCCACATCTCCTATGTGGTCACCTGATTTAAAAGACAACCACATCCCTGTCCATTATTAGGTGGCTAAATGCTGAAAAATCAATCAACAACGCGTCACTTTTGGGTCTTATCACATACTTGGTACCTCTTCTTAAAGGTGAATCCCCACCCCACCAGTGGTTGAACCTTCTCAGTCATGGACTTCTCCTTAGGCATTAGTTCACTAACTGCTCCAGATGGACCTGACCAACACACAGGAGATGGATCTGGAATATAATTTCGTAACTGTCTGTCTAGGGCTCAAGTACTTGACCCTACACCGTGTGCCTAGATACCCCAGCATCAGATACACTGGAACTCTGGCATCCACAACACCACGAAGGGAGAACACCAAGCTGTGGGAGTCCTCTGGCTCGGGAGGCTGAGGAGAAGTCACAAAGGGCATTTCCTGTACCTGACACTTTGTTCCCTTTCCCCACCTGTCTATAAATGGTTAATCTAGCTAAGCTGGCAAGAGAGGCTTGCTGCCTCCTATAAAGTTTGATTCCTGGAGGCAGATTTTTTTTTTTTAATCCAGCAAGTGTCAGATCATTGGAAGGGTGGAGTAACGCTGTAAACCACAACACGCCTTTGTCGGGACTTGTTCAGGAGCAAAGCACTGAAAGAAACCAGGGGGGAGAAGTGAAGTGAACATTTTTGGAGGATCACTCAGCTTTAACACACCTCGGCTGGATCTGGATAAAAAAAGTGGGCACAGCAGACTTGTAGAGGAAAACATCAGGGGAAGAAAGAGAGGGGGCATTCAGTCAAGGTCGTTTCCAGTTCCATCAAAATCACAAGCCAGGTAAGTAGCAGGAAGATTGACCTTCCGCCCTTTTTCTGGGACTTTGATTTAGAGGTTTTCGACTTAGAAATTAAATTTTCCCTGGCGAAAACAAATCAGATGAGGTTCCTTTGTTTCTACAGTTCTTCTAGCTGAAGTGATGAATTGGTCACGAGTGATGACTGTGGTGTATGTGTTTTGCACAGTGCAAGCCTTTTAAAGGACTAAGAACAACAACAACAAAATCCAGGGGTGGGAAAAGTAAGGCCACTTATGATGTACTGGGCTCCAGCCGCAAGATTTTTCTGTGTTACTCTCGGTCTTGTGGAATGCCCTGAGGCAAGGTGTTTTATTTAGGCTACAGTGAGGGCTGTGGGTCTGTCTCCACCCCAGTCTCCTCTCTCACTGTCTGGCTCCCCCCACACACCCCGCTTCTCCCCCAGACAGGCCAGAGGGGTGCAGGGGAAAGGCGAGGGCAGATGGGGGCCTGCCAGCAGCAGCCCCTGGCCGCCTGGACTCTGTGCTGCCAAGTTCAGATTAAGCCTCGGGGTCCCGCCAAAAGACTGCTGCTCTTCATGTTGTAAAATTGTTACTGCCCCTAATCTAAAGTAAAGTGAAATCTCTGAAATGGCCTAATTGATCCAGGAATTCCCCAGAGCCAAACTCAGAGGAATTAAAAGCAGAAGAAAGAATACTTGTCCTTATGCATTTTCCCACCAGTCAAGTCAGCCCCCTTTCCCCCAAAATCACTCCGGGATGAGAATTACCAGTTTACGTGTCCACCTAGACCACAGTTGCCGCGAACTAACAAATTATCACTTGACTTTTTGAAGCAGAGGCAGAGCCTCTGGCGCCCCACTTCTTTTGGGAAGCAGTTGACAGGGAGTAAAGAGTTGGATTTGCTGTGTCCCTAAAAACGTAGTCAGATGCTTTCAAAGGTATTTGTTGGGAAAACAGAAGTGCTTCTCACCTCTGTATGTTCCCTGGAAGCGAGGCACAGATGGAGCCAGATCCACCCAACACACGTGTCCAGCCCGAGACCCCTGGAGAAGCGAGGCGTGCTTTACTCTGGGGCCCTGAGAGCTACGAAGGAATCTGATCAGTTTTCCTGGGACACTTAAAGTGACCAGCCTTGTGTCAAACAGGCATAGAAACTGCTCCAACCGGTGAAAACAATCAGACTGAGAACGACCCACGTTCTTAGACTAGGCCTGACCAGAAGATTTGTTCATTTGACTTTATTAACAGCTGCACCCACAACTGTAAACAATCCAGCGGTGTCCCTGCCTGGCCGCCTGTGGCTGTGAAATCCCGGTGCCGAGTGTAGCAAGTGCAAACCCGTCTCAGGGTGTTACAGAGACAAAACTCCAGTACTTCCACCCCAGGGCGCCCGTTTCCTGGCGATCACACTGCTCGGCTCTTGTATGTTATCACCGCCGTAGGCAGAGACTGGAATGGGGCTCACTAGGAGCTGGGGGAGGCAGGTATGAAAACACAGGCGGGTAGAAGAAAAAGCTCACGTTCCGCGGCACAGCACACGACTGCAGGGAACAACAGCTTATCATGCACTTCGTCAGGAATGGAAGAGAGCAGCTCATTGGCTCCAAACACTAACAAGTGATACATGTCCCTGGGAGGCTGAGACAGAAGGATGGCAAGTTCAAGCCCAGCCTGAGCAATTTAGCAACTTAGCAAGACTATGTCTCAAATCGGGGGTAGCTCAGTGCAGAGGGCCTGGGTTCAATCCCCAGGACTCCCACACACACACACAAAGGATAAATGCTTAAGATGACATAAATGCTAATTACTCTGATTTGATCAATATATGTATACATGTATCGAATTATCATGCTGGAGCTCATAAATATGTATAATTATTATGTGGCTATTAAAAATAAATTTTAATCTGGGCCTGGTAGCACATGCCCATAATCTCAGCACTCAGGAGGCTGAAACAGGAGGATCATCATGAGCTTGGGGTAAACAGTGAGTTCAAGGCCAGTATGAGCTACATAGAGAGCCCCTGACTCAAAAGTAAACAAATAAAATTAAGAAAGAACTATGGATGTACATTAGTATAATTTTGGAATTGAGAACTTGAGTTATTTGCTCATCCTAGTGCCAGTAAAGTGACCCCAATGTCCAGGAAGTTAAAAATTATGCTATTCCGAAGAGCTTCCATCATATGGTGCTTTTGGAAGATGAGCTCAGGTGAGGCCTTCCGGGAAGGGCAGGCTCAGGCAAGAGCCAGGTGAACTTTCCTTTCCCTGTCGTTATGCTTCAAGAACCGCCAGCACTTTCAGAGCGCCTGCCGTCCCTTAGGGTGGTCCTGACCCCAACCTATGCCTTCCTCACTATTTGCCATTCAACATCTCACTTACAGAGGACACCCTTACTTTGGTGAAAAGGAATCTGTCACCCAGCACATCCCTGCCTCCTCCGACTGTCGGTCTGGCAGAGGATCGTGCAGGCTGAGGGACACACAGCATTCTGAGCCTCTTCAGACTGAGGAAGAGGTGTCTTTCCTTCTGAGCCTGCCTGGGCAGGCGCTGTCCGCAGGGTCCCTCCCGGGGCTCCCAGCCCCTGACAGGGGCACCTGGTTTCTTAGCAGGCTGTCTCTTTGTGTCCTCTGCAGGATGGGGAACCCTGAGGTTTTAGCTGTAGAAACTGAATCTCTGCCAGGAACAAAGGGAAGAGACGGAAAGTCTAGAAATGCGTTATTTTCCTGGAGACAGAAAGAACAGGCAGAATTTGCCAGGTTAGCTGTTTGGAGACTGAACTCTTCTTACCAAATGCCTATCAAACATCTCTCTTGATGCCTACAAATGGAATAAACCCAGGCAATCCTAGCTGTAAAATTCACTGAAGGATCAAAAATAAGCAAGAACTTACAGGTAGTAAAAGTTTCTGTGAATTGTTACAAACAGGTCTTTTTGGAATACTACTGCCTATCAATTCTGGTGTCATCCTAAACAGCTGGTCCCCTCCTGAGTGGCAGCCAGTGTACTTAAATGTTTAATCTCCCCAAACGCCTCCTGTTCCATAGCTAATGATTGATGGGTCGGGGGAGGAGGCAGAGGGGCCCCCAAAGGTGTAGTGCTTTGAGGAAGGATTCCTGGGAGTCCAGCTGCATGTGGGTTTGCAGGGCATAGTCCCACGGGCACAGCTGGAATGCAGACGTAGTCATAGGCCAGGCGTGGCCTTTAATGAGGCTAGACTCCCTTATAAAATGTTTATGGAGCCCCTCCTCTTAGCTCCAGGAAACATACCCCAAAAGACATTCTGTGGCATCCCAGATCCAGCTAGAATTTTTCCATGGTGCCTCACTATTTGCCTAGAGCCAGGTGTTTAAGGCACCCTGATGAGCAAGAAGCTGACACATTCAGCCAAGTCCTGCAGCTAACTGTGCTCATCACATGAGGCAGCTGACGAGCTGCTCGCACGCGGCCTTGGTTTCTAGCCGGGAAGTCACCTACAGCCACATTAGGACTTTTGTGGGCCCTCGACACTTCTGCCTCTGTGGGCCCCTCCTCCACTAAGGAAAAAACCTTAGAGAAAAGCATGTTTCACAATTGCACTCGTACAACGAGTACAATCCTGATTAGATTAGATTTGTTTTCCATCTGATTTTTAAAAGAAATGAGAACATTACTGGGGATGCCCACCCCTTTCCAGTGTGCTGTATTGTGGGCTAGGCATTGTGTCTGCCGTGTCTAGTGGAGAAGTCCATCTCAAACCCATTAGGTAGGCGCAGAGTGCCAGAAGAGAGCCCCAGGCAAGGTGCATGGGGCAGAAAGGTCTCGCCTCAATTCTAGAACCAAATTGGACCTGCAACCAACAGGAAAACCAGGAGGAAGAGAAGGAGAGGGGTAGGAAGAGGACCACAGGGAAGCCCAGGTTTCCAGTCCAGTCCAGTCCAGTCCCTCTGGAGCCCAGGACCACAGCGCAGGGAGGGAGTCCTTGCTGTGTGTCCCAGTGTTTACGGCTCGGGTCCCAGGCCACCACCACCCTTCGAGGCCAGCCCTGCCTCTGCCTTCTGCGCTGAGGGACACAGCAGCCAAGATGGTAACAACGTTCCTTCTCAGAGGTGGAGCGAGAGTGAAGGGTGCGCACAGAAAATGGGCGTCTCCGCCATCTCTATAGATCCTACGTCTATTTTCTTCATCTATTCTTCCTTCTGACATCTGCAGGGTTTGTCATGAAGAGAGAGCTCCAGCCTCTCCACAGTGTAAAAGTTCCATGCAGGGATCACCAGTCACGTCATTTTTTATTTTAAATTCACCAAGCTCCGTCCTCCCATCCAAACTTTCAACTAATGTACCGTGAATGTCTTAATTCCCAGAGTCCCAAACAGAACAGAACGCATTACAGAAGTGTCTAATGAATTAGTCAGCAGCGGTTTATTACCTTCGCACCAAGTAGAGGTTTATAGTCAGACAAAGTTCAGGGCACCCTGGCTTTTTAAGTCCTTTGATGCTCAGCAGAGGGCAGTCTGGCCTGTTAGACTCTGAAAAGTAAGATCCCAATACAAAGGAGTAACTCAGAGGGACCCTTCCTGGGCATGCAGCTCAGTGGCAGAGTTGCCTGCCCACCACATGCACACCCCTGGCTTTGATCCCCTCACAGAAAGAAAAATTAAATCAAAGTGGGACTTTTAAATCCTGTCAATTACAACTGATGGCAAGAAATAGGACAACTCTTGGAAAGTAGGTGCAAGAAAGGATCAAGAAATCGAGCTGTGGGTTAGCTTTCACAGCAGGGCCTAGCCTTGCTGCAAGTAGTGGCGAACGACCTTCGCATTCAGTTTCTGGCTTTCCAGCAGGTGGTGATGGGATGGACGTAACCAAGAGAAACAAGCGAGATGGCACGGAAGTCACTGAAAGAGGTCAGAGCATCTGAACGTTTTTCAAAACTCTGTAATTGTTTCATTAGAAGAGTAATAAGAAATTGAAAACAATTTATTCATAATTCCATGACAGCCACGGTGTCACTTTAACATGTGTTCCTAAATGCACCTTATTATTCCTTTCCATAACATGGCCCACGTGGATATTTATTTTAACACATAAGAATCAAAAGGCCTCCTGCCTTTTCTTCCAGGATGAAAATTACCACTTCCAGGCCTGGGGGTGTGGCTTAGCAGTATCCCCTTGCCAAGCATGTGAGAGGCCCTGGTTTGATCCTCAGTACTGGGGGAGGGGGCTTCTTATAGTTTTCATAACCAGCATTTTTAATAACTGCATAATATTTCATTGAATACAATCACCACAGTTCATTTAACCATTTCTCTACTGAGGGATAGAGAATAACAGAAATCTAGGTATGATACCCCAGTTCTTGCACGGACTAAATTGAAATAACACCAGGGTCATAGTAAAAATCTACACTACAAATTGAAAAAGATACATTTATTTTCTGAAACTTCCCAAATGATAAAGTCAGACACAACTCTAAATTAGGGAGCTTTTTTACTTATTCTGAGACTTTCATTTATTTCCAATTTAAAAAATAAACTTCTGGCTTCTCAGATTTGGAACTTCAGGTCAGGAGATAATTTATTTTTATATGTCAAAGAATTGCAAAAGGCTATATTGTGAGAGTTTTAAATGCCACTGTTCTCTAACAAAGTATTCATTTCCTTTTACGCATTGAGTACTGTGCCTGCTACATTCAGTCATGTTCTTGGCAGGAAAGCTAATTAGGGAAACATCGGGTAAAGGAGAATGGAGTGGGTGAGACAGGGCAGGCTGGAGCAGACCAACAGCATGGCTTTGGGTGGCTCAAAATGATCCCGCATTATCTTCCACCCTTCTCTTCTTTCAGCGCCCCCCCCACCTGCATGTGTCTGTACACCACACACACACACACACACACGCACACACATGCACACGCACACTGGCATCTTTTAAAGACCAGCCCCTGGCTAGATGGGTGCACAGCCAGGAAGGTAGTGGTGATGGTGTCAGGGTCAGATGCAGATTGGGCCCTGCTGAGGTTCCGGGAATCCACATCCGCTGCTGCTGCTGCTGCAGGCAACAGAAGCCCTTGGACGGCATGAAGTCTTGCTGCCTATGGGTGTCGTCTCAAGCCCATAATGCCTCCATCTACTCCCCATCACTGGGATCGGAGGAGCTCAGTTTTAGGGGTCAAGGGGACTGGTCCTCAAGTCTGTCTCTGAGGTTCATGGACCACTGATTTCACTAGCACCCAGCGGGACTCACTCCAAGCCCCTTCCTTTCTGTACTCCTGCTGGCACTGCAGACTTCAGAATGAATCCCGATGCCCCGGAAACAGCTCAGGTGTGGGTCCCAGCTGGCCAGGACTTTTAGGAAGGAGCAGGGCAGAGAGGTGGTGTCACCGAGACAAGGGGGCCAGCCCTCCTTCTGGGTCAAACCCCAGCCTGGCCTGCAGCTGTCCTGAGAGAGCCTGATACCAAGGCAACCCATCTTTCAAATCAGGGCATAACTTCTTTTGGTTCCAAAGAGTTACAGACTTATTTTGCAGGTACCTTGAGCCCCTGTGGTTATTGCTTATGTTTCCAGATGCATGGGTCAGGTGAAGCACATGTATGCAAAGTCTGTGTTGAATTTAACTTTACACCCTTAACCTATGCCAGATAGCAGGCCTTGTCCAAATATAGAGGTCTCCTTCCGTTCCCTAAGATCTCCTCTTTTTTTTTTTTGTCATTTTTAGTTATCACTGAAACAGTAACTACAAGACTTACATCCTTACCACCGAGTAAGTAAACGCCTCTTCCCAGCAGGTCATCTGTGAAGACCCCACCATACCTTTGTCCTTGGGAGGTTGCCCTCCTTTGAGCAAATCCAAAATGTTTGACTTTTTTTTTTGCTAACAGTTACACTGAAATTAATTTATATACCACAGAGTCTACCTTTTTGAGTGTGTAATCCTGGGTGGTTAGTGCAGTTACAGAGCTCCAGTCTCATGTTAGAACACGCCCATTCCTCCAGAAAGAGCCTCCTGACATTAGAAGTCACTGGACCTTCCCCCTGGCCCTCTCCACAGCCCCGGAATCCACGCATCTACCTTCTGTCTTGATTTGCTATCCTAGCCACTATAATACCGAAATCCTACCCACCCTGAGCACAGAGCAGCTTCACACCTGTTAAGCTTCCCCTTTGCTCCACCTTCCGGCAGGGGCTCCTCAGGCTTCGTGGGTTCTGTAATGGATCTTCAAGTCCCCAAAACTACCCCACACCCCTCAGGAAGCCTGGTGGCCGGGCTGGGTGAGTCCACCCAGCAGCAGTCCAGACTGAGCAGTGGTGGGCAGCCAGATGGGGCCCAGAGGCGCCACACATCCCTCCAACTTCTCTAGTGGTTGCCACGTCTGGGCCCTTACCAGGCTTCTGCAAAGAGCAAGGCCAGCCCAGGGACCTGCTTCTTTGTCTACTATTCATTTTCCTAGTGAGTAACTTGCTGGCTCCACCCGGAGGCCGTCGTTTAGATCAATACAATATCCACTCCAGAAATCCGCAATCCTGACAAGCTGCAGCGTGGTAGCACCCGCTCTGTGTGTAGTGAGAGAGGGACCCCAGCCAGGAGGGGCCTGGTGAGAAGCCAGGGGAGGCCTCCACTCCACGGGGATGGAGGGATGACGTGACCTGGCTCCACCCTGAATTGTCATCTGCTTTTTGGTTCTGGCAGAAGGGGGCACCAGCAATGGCTATGCCAAAGTGGGCTCTCTTGGTGGAGGGGGCCGGCTGGAGAAGCAAAGCCTGACCCACGGCAGCAGCAGCTACATAAGCTCCAGTAAGTACCCTCCGGGGCAAGGCTGGGACAGGAAGGACGGGCAGACATGGTCCTCAGTCAGTGCCGGCGAGGGACCGTTAGAGCTAAATCGGGGTCCCTAACTGTAGCAGGCGAGCAGCGGGCAGGCAAGCTCCCTGCCACTCTCGTCCAATCAGCAGGGCATTAGATTCTCCGAGGAGTGCGAGCCCTGCTCCTTATGAGAGCCTGATCCCAAGCTACCCCCTCTCCCCTATCTATGGAGAAGCTGACTTCTGGGAAACCAGAGGCCTGATGCCACAGAGCTTGGGGACCACTGGCTAAATGACACATGACCCAGGAGGGTGGGACTTTTAAGCCATCAGTATTTGAACCCTGCTTAAAAAGGGATGTATTTTCACTCAGTCCCTGGTGTAAGATACTCATTAATTAGGAAGCCTGCATGAGTAGGAAGCCTTTTCTTTTAGGAAAGGGCTGGCAACTTCAACTAACAACAAAAGAAAGCTAGCAATCGGGTTTGTCTGCTCAGAGCCTCTGGAAACACGGAATCCCACCAGGCTCGCATGGGGCACAGACCCACTGCTGCCCATGGGACGTTCTTCCAACAAAAGCAAAACAGAGCAAAGCGAGGGAAAATAACACGAAGTCAAGAGCACACACATAACCGTCACTGAAACCACAAGGAAAAGCCAGGGTATGAGAAGGGCCAAGCTGGCCCAGAGAAGTCCTCCCCTCCCTGTTGAGGGCCACCAGGTCATACTCTCGCCCAGCCAAGCAGCGGTCTGTGACTCAGCACCGGTCCTCAGGAAAACCCCTGCCCTGTGTGCGCTCTGTAACCGCGAGTCGGAGGGGCTCCTGCCTTCCGGCGTCTGCTCGGGACAGGCAGTGGCGGCGATATCCCCGTCCTGCAGGGCCTCCCTTAGTGAGCGGCCGCCTGAGTGTGCCTGGTTAGGCTGACCGGATTTCAGTGCCTCGGGGCTCTACCTCCCACCCCACTGCAGGTGGAAGCTTGCGAGGCAACGGCTCCACCTCTAGTTACCGGAGGGCTCAGTCCCCCGCGTCCACCCTGCCCAACTCGCCCGGCTCAACCTTCGAAAGGAAAACCCACGTTGCCCGCCACGGCGTGTACGAAGGTACCTGTCCTGCAGACCACGGGGAGAACGCCCCTCTGCCCCTGGGACTCGGCTTGCCCTGAACACTTGTGGGCTGGCCCCTGGCTTCACCTCCACCTTCATTTCTTTTAGAGACTCACAGTACTTGCAGATTTTGTTCGTTAGCCTGTCTGCACCCACCTACTCACTCTTAAGCTGGTTCTTCAAATCCCTCCCAGGCGTGGAACACTGAGTGGAGGGAGGGCCTCGGGGTGCTGAGATGAATCAGTCATGGATCTTGTCTTCCAGGAGCCTAGGTCTGATAGAAGAGTTAAAGATGACAGATAAAAAACCATCATGCAGCTGGTCCTGGTGCCGCACTCCTGTGATCCTAGCACTCTGGGAGGCTGAAGCAGGAGGACTGAATGTTAGAGCTCAGCCTGGGCAACTTGCAATTTACCAAGACAGTTGCCTGTGTCAAAATTAAAAAAAAAAAAAAAATCAAAGCAGGGGATGTAGGCCAGTGTGAAGACCCTGGGTTCAATCCCTAGTACAGCAAAAAAAAAAAAAAAAAAAAGCTATAATGCAGAGTAGACGAGATTACCATCTTCAGCTGAAGAAAGAAAGCATGGCAAACCAAGGAGGAGGTGACATCTGAATCTGAGCTGGGCCCGCCTGATGTGTACAATGCTGGCACCCAGGGAGGCAGACACAGGCAGTCCAGGGAGGGAGCAGCCGCATAACAAGTCAGGCAGGAGCCTCAGGGCTTATGCAGGAAGCAGCTGCAGCCTGTGTGAAGAGGGACTGGAGAGGACCAGGTGCCGCTCAGTGGGAGTCCTGAGGCCCTGGGTTCTAGGGAACAAAAAGGACAAAAGGGGTTGGAGGAGCCAGAGTCGATGCTAGGATATGCTGTTTGGCCTTCATTCTGCACCCAGTGGGCAGCCATGGAGACTTCTGAACAAAACAGTCAATCGCATTTGAGGTCCAGGACTAGGAGAATTAGGAGGCTGAGTTTCAGGTGCAGGCTGGGCTCAGGGTGGAGCCAACAATTGAAACAGGACTGAGGAGGCGGACTCCGCTTGATTGAGTTCAGTTACTTTGTCCTCAAATTGTGCACCTCTGGGGAGAGGGTAGTGAACAGGCGAGGGAAACATGGAACTTACCTCCGGGAGGAAGTTCAGGCAAGAGTTGAGTTTGGGAGTGGTTCACACAGGGATGCTGTGGACTGGAAGACCACGGAGTTTGCCAAGGAAGAAAGGGTCAAAGCAGGAGGGAGCAAAGAAAGAGAAAGCTGGAGAAGAAGGAGAAAGCAAGGCCTGGGGTCAAAGAGAAAAGGAAGAGCTGTAGCTGCTCAGGTGGAGACGGGGCCCTGGAAGGCACCTGGGTTCCATGACTAAGCCCACTGGGTCCCCGGCTTGTGCGGGAGCAGTTCAGATGGGAATGGGCCAGCCAGATGGAAAATGAGTTTAGCAGTGAGAGGAGATGGGTGCGAGTGACAGAGAGGCAGGATTAAGGGGCTGAGTCCCCTAGTAAATGAGTCAAATGGGCTGGCGTCCCAGTGCAGAGAGGCTGGCCTGCTGGTGCAGCGCGAGAGTCCCCAGGGAAGCTCAAGATCCAACAAGTGAATTTCATCACACTGTGCTATCTGCCTTCCTCTCCCTCCCCTCCCTCTCCCTCTGCTTCTCCTCCTTCTGCTTCCCCTTCCCCTTCCTTCTTCTCTTCCCCTTCTCCCCATTCACCTCCTCTCCTCCTCCTCCTCCTCCTCCTCCTCTTCCTCCTTTTCCTTCTCCTTCTTCCTCTTCTTCCACCGAGCTATGTCCCCAGCCCTCCACAGTGCTCTCTGATGTTAGGCCTGAGCAGGGCTCGTACCTTTATTTTAACAAGATCCACTTTCAAAAACAAGCATCACAAGGGCAGAGGGTTGGGGTGTCATGTTCTTGGTCTTGAGCCTGATTCTTTCCAAATGCCTGCTCACCCCTCCTGAAACGCTTCTGGCCATGGGGCAGGAAGAAGGGCTGGAGCGGGCCACTCTCTGGGAAGCTCACAGCCCAGGAGGCCAGCTGTGCTGAGTTTCCGTCCCCTTCTGCAGGGAGCTCCAGTGGCAACTCTTCCCCGGAGTACCCTCGGAAGGAGTTGGGTATGTTCTCCCCTGGTTCTCGGAGGATCTGCTCCGGGCACTGAGGAAAAGCGGGGCTAGGGTGGGCAGGAAACATCTTGAGCCGAGGGAGGCAACCCCTGCAGGAGGTGAGCCCTGCCAACTCATCGCTCCCTGTGCCTCATCTTAAAGGGACTCCCCATCACATGAACTTGCTTCACAAGCATTAGCTCACAGCACTGTTAAAAATGCAAGCTGTTTACACAAGATTCGTGGTCAGATACATACATCGCTGAGGCCAAGCAGTAACTGCCAGGATTCCTCCCCATGAGAGGCACAGGGACAGCCAGCAAAGATAACCAGCAGTCACAGAGCAACAAATGCCCACGCCCCAGCGCCTCCGCCCTCTCTTGCTTCCAAGAGCCACATCATAGCCTAAAGAACCCTGGACCATGACTTAGGTCTTTGGTCCATATTCTGGGAAGCTTAGTGGGCTTGTGAATTGGGGATATGACCACTGATTACACAGTGGTTGTTTTATTTATTTGCTTACACCTGAAAACCAAGACAGGCTCTAAGAAACAAAGGGATGACTTGACAGCCTTTTGATCTGTTTGGTCAGTGTTGTCAGCCAGTACAAATGCATTGTGCTCCCAGCCTTAGCTGCAACACTGTTTGCTAAATTAACATTCCTTTGGGAAGTGAACATCTTACTGCCCTGGGGTATTCAGATCCTCTCTGCCCTTTAGCTATGCAGTCATCATTGACTGCTATGCGGTCATCATCTATTCAGCATCTGCTGTACAGAATAGCCCTTTGCTGGGTTTATACACAGTAAGAGAAGCCCCCAAATGTGTGCCTTCATGTCAAAACTATCCAGCATGCCTCCTCTTATATAGGCCTGAGACTGTGTTTATCTCTTTCTCAGCGTCTTCTGCAACCAGAGGGCGGAGCCAAACGCGAGGTGAGCACTGTCCCGGGTCCAGTTCACTTCATTTGGGCAGCATTTCCTGAGTGCCAGCCTTGAGCCGGGACATGTGAGGTACAGGGATGAGCAGGCGAGGCCTGGCCTCTGCCATCAGCACACTGCAGGCTCAGGGCCCTCATGCTTGATCTTGCCACTGTGAAGTGGACAGCAGCAAAGGGAACAGTCATTGCTGGGTGTCGTGCAACCTCCTTGCTCAGCCTGAGGCTACATCAGGCCCCAGGTGCCTACAGTGGACAGGTAAGGTGAGGAAAGGGATGTCCCCCTTGTAGCAGAATTCTTCTTAGGACACCAAGTGTCTGCCTCTGGGACACAGAAACCTAGGACAGTTCGGAGCTGCTCAGACCCAGGGTCAGGAACTGTAGTCGGGCTCCTCCGCTCACGGCCCGTGTGTCTCTTTCTTTGCACAGAGAGCGAAATTCGAGTTCGGTTGCAGAGTGCATCACCTTCTACCAGATGTGAGTGGTCAGTGGCTTGCTGCAGAGATCCGGGGGCCTTGCAATGAAATCACACACGGATGTTGAGTACTGTTTAGGAGTTACAGACTAGTGCTGTGTGTGCATGCGTGTGTGTGCATGTGCTCAAATGTGCATGCACTCAATCGTAAACATCTTTAAGGGTCTTCTGTGAGTTCCCCTGTGCTAGGAGCTGGAGTTTAGTTGCACTGGTTTTAGCTGCTTAGCAGCTCACAGAGCAACTCGGAGAAGGCAAATCAGCCAACCTCACAGCTCAGTGTGGCGAAGTGGCGCAGAGGAGCAGCTCCACACTAGGCGAGGGCCAGAGAGGCCTTCCAGGTCAGGCGTGCGCCACAGGGTGGGCCTGAGTCAGGGTCAGAGGGTGCAGCCAGGATGAGCATCTGAGGCGCAGTTCAGGGTGGGGAGCAATGAGAGGGTTCAGTTTGGACAGGACCAGAAGTAGACTGTGGAAGCTTCTGCTTCACCTCCCAGGTCACAGACTTCCCGCCTCCCCTCACTGGATGTTCGACTTTTGTGGCTCTTTTTGGAGGCTGTTTGGTAGCACTGTGAAAAGCCTAACGCTTAGGCGGGGAATCGCACCTGATTGGAAGGTGGGGCTGGGTGGGGGGTCTAGGCCCAGAGCCAGAGCTCACCCCCAGAGCTTAGTTCCTGGGCGGTGGGATCTGGCCAGTGGAGTCCTTCCTGGCTCGGGGTGTTGAGCCCAGGACAGAGCTTTGGGGCCCAGAGAGGAGCCCACGCGTCCCCGCATGCACTGTGTGCAGGTCTGCTGACTCCTCCTCTGTGTTGCCCTGCACGGTGCCTCCCTTCTGTCACGTTTTCCACTTTGGGAGGCGGGACGAGGAGCTTGCTCCCTAGCTCACCTTGCTACGCATAGTATCAGCGGGATGGACTTGAACGTAAGTCACGAATGAATGCAGCATGCTGTTCAGGACTTGGGCCACAGAGTCCTCTGGACACTCCCAGCCCAGAGCCAGGACCTGACGTCCCAAGCACCCTATGCAGAGGGTGAGATGACCATGTGCTTCCACAGGCCTGGTTTCTAGCTCCCCACTCCCAGGTGAGAGTCACAAGCACATCTCTGTGATGTCTGTGTGGCCTTATGTAAGGTATTATATTTATGAGGCACTGATATCCAGGGCCGGGTGGATAAGTGTTAGAATTAGCAAAACACGAAAATTATAAAGCTAACCAAAAATGCCCAGTGTGTGAAGCAGGCGGCATTCAGAATGCCATGGATGTTCCTCTCACTGCAGCGACACTCAGGAGAGTCCTGGGCCTGAGGGGAAGTTTGGGGATTCCTCCACAGGGACAGAGTTGGATGATGTCAAGCGTTTGCTCAAGGGCAGCCGATCGGCAAGTGCCAGTCCTACCCGGAACTCATCCCACACACTCCCCATCCCCAAGAAAGGCACGGTGGAGACCAAAGTGGTGACAGCCAGCTCCCAGTCAGGTAAGCCGGACCCAGCCTGCCGGAGGGGCGGGAAGAGGTGGCTGACTTACCTTGGTTCTCAGCTGTGCCCTGGACTCCTTCCAGGCTTTGCCAGAGACGTCAGAGGGAGGGAGAAAGGGCTTCGGAGGAAAAATGTGTGAACCGCACATCAAGGCTAATCCGCCTTCTCTGCAGCATGGACATGAGGGCTCTGTGCCTCTCATCCACATAGCAACTGCCTCAGGCGCATGCAGGAGTCCAGCCCTTCTCCCTCGAGATCCTCTCTAGGGGGCCTGGACGGTTGGCCATGTCGGCCGGGCTCCCCACACAAAGAGTCTGGGGAAAGTTGTAGTGCTTTCATGCCTTCTCTAGTGAATATTTACTCCTTGCCTCTTCTGTGTCAAGTGCCAGGCACTGAGGGAGAACAGAGGACAAGACAGGCATAGCCGCTGCCCTCTTGGTGCTGGGCTCTGGGGAGTCGAACAGGAAGCCAAGAGGTCCCGGTCAAGGGGGATGAGCGGTGTCCAGCACCCGTATGCCAAGTGCTTACTGAGCACAGAGGAGGTCCCGTGGTTAGGAAGACAAATTGGCAGAGCCTGGGAGGAGGGGAGGACAGCAGCCAAGTTATCTCAGACATGCGGCTTTCCTCTTGTTGACACCCAGGAAAACCAACAAGTGTTTCTTTCCTTGTGCTTTCCCTATAAAAACAAGCCTTGGGTGCTTTATCACCCAAGGACACCCCACACGTGTCTGGGATGCTATCAGTTTTGATTTGGGGGTCTCGTTTGCTGGCTCCAAGAGAGCTGCCCCTGGCATCTTTGAAGATGGAGGAGCCAGCAGAAGGTGGGACAGCCCGCGAGGAGAGGGAGAAAGGGCTCAGGTTGACTTTGCATTTCACCGAGAGCTGGCAAGAATTTCTGTGTTCCCCAGCTCCGCTATTCAGTCAAAAGTGGGATCCCTGGCTGCTGGCTGGCCGGCCCGGGCTTGCTGGGATGTGGGACCTGCAGGGTTCAAACCAGGGAAGTCCCTGGAAGCCCAGCTGCTAAGTTCCCCCAGCAGGGAGGCGTGGACTGTCGCTCCCTGGCAAGTGCTCACCTTTGCTTCCAGTCTCGGGCACCTACGACACCACCATCCTGGACGCCAACCTGCCCTCCCACGTGTGGTCCTCCACCCTGCCCGCGGGGTCCTCCATGGGGACCTATCACAACAACATGACAACCCAGAGCTCATCCCTGCTCAACACCAATGCCTACTCGGCAGGCTCGGGTAGGTGGACACCGCTCTCCCTCGGGGCTGTCCAAGTCGCCACGCCTCTGCCCTGGAGCTGAGCAAACTCTGAGACCTTGCCCTCCCCGGGGCCAGTGGGGAGGTTTCCTACAGCCAAGCAGGCCAAGGGTTTCCCTGGAACTTTGGTCAGTGCTGTCCCATAGAACCGGGTATTAGGAAAAACCGAATGGGGAAGGACAGCGGGCAGGATGCTAGGGCTCTGTCGTGGCTCCATGTGAATTCTCTGCGGGACCTTGAGCAAGTCCCTCGACCTCAGAGCTTCCGTACACAGTGGAGTCGCTAACAGGAGTGCCTTTCGTGGATACACTGTCCACTACCGACTGACAATCGCCTGTCGGCTGGGACCCAACACAAACCACAGCCTGGTGTTTGGTTCTCTGCTGCCAAAGATGCAACCATGTGTAAAGCCCAATCCTGGCATTTCTTGTGGTGACCGGCACCCCTCTCACCCACCTTTCCTCTGCCCGCAGTCTTTGGGGTTCCCAACAACCTGGCCCCCTGCTCCCCAACCCTGCAGCCTGGACTCAGCTCCTGCTCCTCAGGTCAGTGTTGGCGCCTGAATCGCCTTCTCCACGCTGTTGCTTACAGAGAAGAAAGTGGAGTGGTTTCTAGACATGCCCTCACTACCCTCCCCTTGAGCGGCAAGGACTTCACATGTGCTCAGCCGAGCCCACAGCTGTGCCAGTGAGACACAGCCCAGACCCCACCTGAAGCGCCAAGCACAGGGCCCGGGCCGCCAGCAGGCTTATTCTGTGCTCTCCTTTCTTTTCTAGGAGAGGTGGAGAGATGAAAGTAAAGGGCCGCAGTGAGTCATAGCCTGAGACATTTTCAGGGTGAAAAGCATTTGTTTAGAAGTGTCCTACTTCAGATCTTTATATAAGTTCAGTAGTTCACTGGAGTACCTACATAAGGGAGAATAACATTACTGGTTGGCTTCCAATGCAAACATATAACTTTTTAAAAAAAATATTTACTCACTGTTTCCACATATATCATAATAGTCCACATGGACATAAATTACTAGGCACATCTGTTTTTTTAATCTACCTTCTTTTGTGATAGTGCAGCTAATAAATATAAGGACAGGGCCCTTCTTTGTCTACACCCCTGGTATCGCTGCAAATGCAAATGTAGCGATCAGATTTCTAACACCTCCAGTTCACTAGAGTCCCGCCAAACCCAGAAAAACCTGGCTTCATGCTTGCTGTTCCCACCTTCACTGTTATGTTTTGCAAAGTTCCGACTGAGCCAGTCCCAAGGAAAGGCTGAGCTGATAATGGAAGCCAGATCTTGAGCTCCAAACTCTCAAGAGGATGGAGTGATGGAAGCTGAGGCTAGGGACGAATGGGTTTCTGGATGTTGTTAATACATAAACAAGGAGTCTTGGAAGGGATAATGAGGGTAAGGGGAGTTTTCCGTGTTTGAGTCAAGAGCAGACAGAGTTGTAGGGAGAACCAGGAACCTGGCAAGTTATTGCCTCTCAGGCCCGACGTGGGATATTTTAGGGTCTCAAGGGTTACAGCAACACTTGTCAGACCCCACGTGAGCTACAGCTGTTACGTTGTGTGGTCCTAACTGCTCAACAAAAGGAACTGTTAGTAAAATTTGGCCTGGAGTGGGGTGGAGGCACAAAAAAGTTTACTGTGTCACTAACAGTTTGGGAAACAAGGAAGGCTGGAAACCTGTCATCTGCAAAGTCCTTTGTCACAAAAGGGGTTCAGGGGCTTGAGGAGGAGGCCTGCAGCTAGGAGAGAGGCAGTGTCCATGCGCAGGTTCTCAGTGCTCTTGGTCCCTCTCACAGTGTTTGGAATGCAGAACAACCTGGCCCCCAGCTCAACTGCTCTGTCCCATGGCACAGCTGCCGCTTCAACAGGTTAGTAGCTCGGGGTTTAGTCCTGGAGTTGGAAAGAGACACCTCCTTGAGGCTACAGCTCTCAGGATCCCTTTCAGCAGCTCAGTTAGAAGGACCAAAAGGCCCCTGAAAAGAGACCGGCCTCTCCCCAGATCAGCCCCCTCCCCCACCCCAGAGATGGCTCCCTTGACCATCTGCCCGTCAGACGGGAGTTAAACACACAGGCGAGTTTGTCCCGCCAAGAGCATCTGTGCCCTGGGATGTGTCACCTGCATGTCCTCGTGGGTCTTACCACCCCCTGGTCAGCCTGGAGCTCCCTGCAGCCCACAGCTCACTCCCGCACAGCCCACTGTCACTGCAGGTCAGTCTCCTGGTTGATTTCATGGTGAACCCCAGGCTGCTCCCCTGTGCAGAGCTGGGAGCCGGGGTAGGGATGAAAGAGACACGAGCCCCGGCCTTTGCCTTCAAGCTGCCTACTGTTTAGTCAGAGTGGAAAGTCTAACACATGTGAAGCAATAACAAGAATGAAGCAGGGTGGAAATGCAGAAAGAAGGGATGGATGTGAGGTCTAAGAGGACTTCCTGGGGGAGATGGTCTTTGGAATGGTGCTAGAAGGGTGAGCATGTTTATACCGAAGAACCCTCCATCTAAGCCCTCTTTGCTGCTCCAGTGGCTAGAGAAGGTTGATCCTGTGGGCTGCCTCTCACCCGAGGAGCCACCACTCTGGGGCTGATTTAGCTGCTCAGAGTTGCAGGAGCCTTCCTCCCGAACTGGTGAGCTCACTCTATGGCTCTTCTCCTGCAGCGTATGGTGTGAAGAAAAATGTGTCCCAGAGCCCTGCTGTTGTGAGCACCGGTGTGTCCACCACCTCTAGCAGTGAGTGCCGCTCTCCCCAGGGGTCAGGCCAGCACCCAGGCGGAATTGCCCAGCTGTGACCCAAGGGGTACTGGAGGAGAGGACAGAGCCCCTGCATGGTCTGAGGTCCACAAACACCACTCACCCCAAAGGTCCCTTGGATGTTTCTATGAACGCAGAGATGCTCGTCCCCTGAACTTACCTTGGCCTTCCTGCCCAAGGGGGCAGAAAGCCCTGCTGCCACCGCTGCTCAGCACCCGCACTTACGGTCCAGCCACCCCTTGTCTAGAGTCCTTTCACCTTCTCCTATTACATGTAACCCACTGTAAGAACCAGGGAGCCCCGCAGAAGTTGCCAGCACCCTGCCTGCTTCCTACAGAGTCTTTATCAACGTGGGTTCCTGACACACCTCGAGCCCTCCTCCATGGCTCTGCCCCCAGTGTTGCTTCTGTTCAGCAGTCATTAATTTTTTAAAATGGTTACCAAGCACTTACTTTATAGAAGACAAATTCTGTTCTAAGTGCTGGGAGCAGCGATAATCAAAGCATGAGGCCTCCTGCCCTCACCAACCTGATGACTCCAGTGGAGTAGGCAGATGACAGACAAAATACACAAGATCATTGCAGACAGTGGCAGCGATTCTAAGGAAACTGGAAAGGGTGTGGTGGAGACAGGAGAGCGTGTACGGGGCGGGGAACCCGTCAGGAAGACGGCAAAGACATCAGTTAAAGGTTACATCAGCTAAGGGTCCTGCCTGGCTGTGGGGAGGTGGTCACCCAGGTGGTAAAGATCCCGCACCTCTGGGTGCGAAGGCGGACCCACTGCCCGCTGGCCTGGTGCCTCTGTCACCGACTCAGCCTCCCATAGGCCAGGCCCAGGCAGCCGGGATGGAGCCGTGTCTTTGGTCCCCCAAAAGCTTCATAGCACCGCTGTCAGGAAGAACAGGACCCTCGCATTCGCACCCGCTAATCTCTCTCTCCCTCCTGCCTCCTCTCTTCTGGCCATTGCTTCCCTCTCCCCTCTCCCGGACATTCTCCTTCCTCCTGCTGGGCCTCTGTCCTCCTCAGCCTGCACCACCAATGTCCAAAACGATGAGATCTTGCACAAGGACTGCAAGTTCTTGATCCTGGAGAAAGACAACGTGCCTTCCAAGAAGGAGATGGAGCTGCTGATCATGACCAAGGACAGCGGGAAGGTCTTTACTGCGGCCCCCGCCGGCATTGCTGCAAGTACGCCAGAGCCCGGTGACCGGGGGTGCAGAAGAGAGGCTAGCTTGGGGAAGACTGCCTGTCCTAGCAAAGTGGTCTGAGGCGATTCGGTCATGCACCCAGGGCTACGCCACTGTAATGAAAAATGCCTGCCCTAATAGAGTGGACCAGGGGCTGCCTTGAATGCGGAAGAGCCATGAAGACTCAGGCAGCCTCCGGAGGGGTCTCTGCCAAACAGCAGGTCTAACACAAACACAGACAGGGGAGATTCGCCCTCCAAAAGCAGGGCTTTCTTCATACCCGGCTAAGCCTGACCTCTCCAAGCAGCCAGGGGTGCGGGGCAGGACGGGAGGCAGCGGGAGGGTGTACCACATTATCACGGGTTCCGTGTGTAGCTTCTTTTTCAGAAGACACCCTGAAAAAAGAAAAGGAGGCTGCCTACACTGCTGACACCTGCCTAAAAGCAGACACAAATGGTAAGAGCAGACCTGACTGCTGCCCACCTTGACGTGAGCCAAGCCACAACTCATTTCTGGGTCTCCCGAGACCTCGCTGCTCAGTGTGAACCAGCAGAATCGGGAACCTGCACAATCCAGGCCCCCAGACCTGCTGCGCAGGACGCTGGCTTAACAGACTCCCCAGCAGGCCGGGTGTGCAGAGCCCTCCTCTGGCGGGGCTGCAGTGGCATTGTTTTCTCGCCCTACTAGTCCTCCTATGATTTTCAAAACTAACAGAAAAGTGCCCGGCAAAGCCTTTTTAGCTTTGCTTTTTTTTCCTTCCCAAACACCTGGATCCTTTCTTGGGTAAAGACGTTTCTTCACAAGGTCCTGCAGCATCTCTCCAAACAGCTGATTTCGGAGAGGTCAGAAAGGAAGGGAAATGTCAAGTCATAGAACATTTTAAAGTAAAAGCAAATTAAGTCAGTCACCTCCCTGATGAGTGAAGGGATTAGAACTTGACTCTAAATCGGCAAGGTGAGCAATTCCTCGCATTTTAGGGGTGGAGCCAGGGCTGTGAAGTCAAAAAACACTTTTTGGAATATGATGAAAGATACTGACAAACTCACAGAAGATTCCACGCATGCCCACAAATACTGGAATAGTATCAAAGACTCGGGGTCAGGCTCTCCACACCTGTCCTGGCCAAACAGTCTTAGTGCCCTCGACCTGTGGACAAGGACGCGTGCCCTCCAAGGAGGAGGTGGAGCTGCTGACCAGGACCCGACCTATGTTCGGAGTCCCCTTAGCCAAGAGCAGAGTCAGTGTAGAGCATGTGCTTGGGGTGCACGAAGCCCTGTGTTCAATCCCCAGCACCAAAAGAAAGACAAAAAAAAGTCAGAGTCGGCCCGGGGATGTAGCTCAGTGGTTTCACTGCCTGGCTCGCAAGCGCAAGGACCTGAGTTCGATCCCCGGTACCAAAAAAAAAAAAAAGTCAGAGTCATCTCTCCGAAGCACACTTACTGTTTGAATATAAATATCACCCCCAACATGATCTTCCAAAATATTGATATTTAAAAGTTTAAGGCTGAAAGACAGTTTAAACACTATGCTTTCTTCCACTGTCACTTGCTGGCCAGGCCATGTCTTCACAGATATAGTCATAAATATCAGATCTGTGAGGACTGAGTGGCTTGCCATTCCGCGAGGTGCCTTGGGGGATAAATTTACCCCCAGAGTCAACACAAGGGGCACGATGACAAGCTCAGCTCCAAACCCGTTTGCCTTTCAGGAGATGTGAAGGTTGTCTCCACCAAGGGCAAGTCTGCCTCTGCAGGTGGGTGAGAAGGGGCCTCCCAGAGACAGACCCAGGGGCCAGTATGACGGGGTAGCAGACCACGGCCCCTTGCCTGGTGCCAGTGCACATGAGAACCACCAGCTGCAGCTCCCTGGAGGCTCGGAAAGGAGCGGAATGGGGGGCGGCCAGGCAGCAGCCTGGAGGTGGCCTTGGAGAAGCTTGGCTGAGGGACAGCTCTTCGCAGGCCCTGTAGGCTGCCCCCAGGTCTGCCCCTGGGGAGAGCTCTCACCATCCGCAGGGGCCCCGGGCGGCACTGAGCCTGATGGTCTGGCCCCCCCACTCCCTGCATCATGATTGGAGACATCTAACAACTTTATAGGTTTACTGAGCACCATTAAGTACTGTGCATGACTCTAGGCACCACGGGGACCACAAAGCACGAGTTGTAAAGCAAGACAGGCAGTGGAAGGCTTCAGGGTTCGGCCTGGTCGATGTGGGGGTGGCGACAGATCAGTGCAATACTAACGCACAGTATGGAGGGTCCAGGCCTCGCGCCATATGCTTCGCCCTCCGCTGCTTGCAAAGCCTGCCCGTTTGATTCAGTAACTGTCTTATGAAACAGATATCTCCACTCCATTCCAAGGTTAAGTGACCTTGTCAGGGTCACACGCTCAGGCCCATGATCATCAGACTTGTGCTCCTCATCAGCTGCTGCTGTTTGCACAAAGATGTTCAGACACTTAAGGCCCCACCCCAGCACTCGGCCACAGGAAGTCACCCAAAGCCAGGAATGTGGAGGGAAAGGGGCAGAAATGCCGGCCATCACCTCCCCTTCCCTGTCTGTCCCGCAGAAACCCATGGTTATGACCACCGCGGAGGTGGAGGGCTGTGGGGGGCCGCGCCCTCCTGGTGCCCCTGCGGCTCCTGCTGCAGCTGGTGGAAGTGGCTGCTGGGCCTGCTGCTCACCTGGCTGCTGCTCCTGGGGCTGCTCTTTGGCCTCATCGCTCTGGGTAGGTGCAAAGGTCACAGGGCAGGCTGCAAGGTCGGGAGCAGGATACGCCCAAGCCCACTGCCCTTCAGAAGGCAGGCACTGGCCAGAGGTCACAGATCATGGACGCAAACCCCAGTTGCTGCAGATGAGGAAACTGAGGCTCGGGAGGCACCCGGGCCCGGGCACATGGTCCCCAAGCATGTAGCTGGGACTCTAGGGCAGCTCTGATCCCACCTGTGGCTGCTGGTAGCTGTCAGCAAAGGCCGTCCACAGCCTTGGGCTTTTTGCCTGTTCCAACAGAGAGAGGGTGAGCTTTGTCACCCAGCTCGGCTAATAAGACTGAGGCCCAGGCAGTTCCCCAGAGGGTGACAGCAGGTTAACCCTGCTCGCAGAGTGGCATGAAGAAGCGGCCCAGATCAGGGCCGCACTGGCTCGTGGGGGGAGCGGCTGAGGGGCAACGTGTGTGTCTGATGTCCCTTTGCAGCAGAGGATGTGAGAAGGCTGAAAGCCCGTGTGGAGGAGCTGGAGAGGGGCCAGGGCGGCGTGCTTTCCTACGAGGACAAGATGGAAAGGAGCCACAGGGAGCGGCTCCAGGGTGCCACGCCCGGCCAGGGAGCAGGCACTGGCAGGGCCGGGTTCGAGGGCGGCCTCAGCCAGGAGGAGCTCTGGGTGTTCGTGAAGAACAAGCTCATGCAGGAGCAGGAGAACGGTGAGCGCCAGCCGGGAGCAGGGCTGGCTCACCGGGTCGGTCGCCTGCTGCTTTGCCTGTGGGTGGCAGGTGTCCAAGTGCTGGGGACCCCACTCAGCCACTCTCAGCCTCCCTCCTGCTCCCATCCTCTTCATAGCCCCAGGAGGAAAGGGGCACCAGCCCTGGGCCCCATTGACTGTGGACAATTGCCACACTCAAGAGCAGATCCTGATTCCCTGTGTGAGCCTCAGTTTCCCGCCACGGCCCGTGACCACCTCTTGTGCGGTGTGCAGGATGCAGATGTGACCTAAGCCAGGGCCTACTTTCTCTTGCAGGAAACCTCCGAGGAAGCCCTGGCCCTAAAGGTACAGCGGGGAATCCAGCTCTTTCCCCACGCTTGGTCCCTCAGTGGGAGGCAGTGCTCCGGGTGGACTGGAAAACAGTTTCTGATTTTTCCAAATGGGAGGATGAGAAGCTGAACCACCCTCAGCTTCTGAGGGCTGAGGACGGGCTTGAGTCAGGTCTTAGGGTGGGAAGGGACCCAGGCGGCAGCTAGGAGCGGCTCAGCAACCTGCCCAAGTGCCACACACAGGAGCAGAGGGACCACACTTCGGTCCCTCACCCTGACGTACAGCTCACGTATTGTCACGTAGCTGTGACGCACTGTGGAGAACCGGCCCTTGCACTCCTATGCCTCTCATACTTTCCATTTCTTTCTGATTTTAGGTGACATGGGAAGTCCAGGTCCAAAAGGTAAATATAACGTGGACATTTTCACTTTATTTACTTTTATTCTTTCATTGGTACATGTTTGCATTCATTATGCGGGGTTGGTACATGTGCATGACACATCTTAATTCCCTTTTCATCCCCTTCCCCTGCCCTCCCTTCACCTCTTGATTCCCTTCCCATCTGAGAAAGGTCAAGCGTGGTTTAAAGCAGGGTCCCCAGCCCTGGGGCTGAGGACCAGTACTGGCAGTGTCGGGTTAGGGACTAGCTGCACAGCAGCAGCAGGCAAAGCTCTGCAGGTACTTACAGTGGCTCCCCCATGCCCCACATTGGGGTCACCTCCCGAGCCCACCTCCTGTCAGATCAGGGGGAGCAGGAGACAGCCCCACGGCTCCCCCTGGACACAGGGCACCTCTCCTTGTCCCGGCTGGCTGGGCTTGGCAAACTCCAGTGCATTAGAAACTGCCAGAAGATCTGGGACCACTTCCAGGCCCCTGGTCCAGTGGATTTGGATGAGGTCAGGAACCTCGGGTCTGAGTGACCCCAGGTGATTCTGTGGCCAGCATGCACATCCACACCGAGAGCCACCTCCCACCACGACAGGGCCACCCTCTGTCCCCAGCTCACCTGCTCTCCCAGAGACCCCGGCATAGGAACTGGGGTCCCCCACTTCAGGACCCTCTGACCTCCTCATTCCCTGCCTGCAGCCCACACACCTAAGACCCAGCTGGGGACCAGAACTGATGGTTCTGGCCCCTGAGCCTGCTGCTGTCAGGTAAAATACAGCACTCCTGGTTGCTTGTGATGCGTTCGTAGTTATTCACTAAAGTATGTCTCAAATCGTTTATGGGACGTAATTATACTAAAAATGTATCTTTGTTTACCTGCAACTCAGATGTAACTGGGTGTTGTATTTTCGTTTGCTAACTTGGCAGCCCTAACCTGATTCCCACCAGCAGCTCCTTTAGGGACCTGGGCTGGGTCCCCTGGCTGACGGATCTTTACCTTTGTCCCTGCAGGAGACCGAGGCCTTCCCGGGACTCCAGGTTTGTAGCCCCGGTGACTTCCAGTGCTGCTGCTTGGCAGCTCTGTCCTGGCTGCTGCCTCCAGAAGGAATCGGGGCTAAGGTCTTCTCGTGTGTCCGCAGGTAGCCCTGGGCCCTTGGGCCACCCCGGTCCGGTAGGACCAAAAGGACAAAAAGGCAGTGTGGGTAAGAGCTGACTTTTCCACTCATCCCCCTTGCTCGTGCACTCAGGGGGCATTTGTTACGGGCCTGCTGGTGCCGGGCCCCGTTAGAGGAGACAGGGGACCCTGTTGCTGGGGAGAGAAGACAGGAATGGTGGGAACCCCCTCGGCGGTGGCTTGGGACCCTAACTGCAAGGCCGCCCATTCTCGTCTTTAGGAGACCCCGGCATGGAAGGACCCATGGGCCAAAGAGGGAGAGAAGGCCCCATGGGGCCCCGTGGTGAACCAGGGCCTCCTGGATTTGGGGAGAAAGGGGACAGAGGTAAGAGGCGAGTCCTCGCCAGCAGGGCTCACGAGTTGGTTCTTCCTCCCATACATATATGGAATGTGTACATGTGTGTATAAAATCTGGGGTGCTGGGGATCAAACCCAGGGCCTCATGCATGCCAGGCAAGTGCTCTACCACTGAGCTACCCAGCCCCATCCTGGCCTCTTGCCATCTGGCTCCCTCACCGTCCTCCAGTAGTGTTTGTTGAGTGCTTTCCTCAAGCTGGGCTCTGTGCTAGGCCCTGTGGAGACAGCACAAATGATGGGCTATGCAGTGCTTGGAACTCAAAGAAAGAGGTCCCGGTGAAACATCCTTCCTAGACTGGGGTGGTGAGCCGAGCAGAGCCAACGGGGGGAACAGGGAGTAGGGGCCCTGCTGGAGAGTGGGTGGGGTGCAGGACCCTGCAGGGAGGGAGGCAGGAGAGCCCCAGGTGCAGACCTAGCACTGGAGGGGGCTGGGAAAGTTGTGCAATTAGATCCTTAACCATATGGGCCCGGTTTTTATCAGAGGAAACCAAGATGGGCTCCTGAAATCTTCTAATGCTGAAAGGCGGAGCAGGAAGCTTTATATTTAGTCTCACTTTTCTCTTAAAAATGTTGCTCATCCAGGCAGCCAGTATTTATTGAGTGCCTCCTAGATTCCAGACCTCAGGGGAAAGTAAGGATCTGGGGTAGAAACTGAGGAGATTTGTTAATTAATGGCTTCCAAGTGGATCCATGACCATGACAGAGTGAGAAGTGTCTCTTCCAAATGACACTGGCCCAGGGACAGCCAGATTGGGGGACTTTCTCAACGTGTTCCTTCTTCCATTTCTCCACAGGGGCTGCTGGTGAACCAGGTCTGCAGGGCCCTCCTGGTGTCCCAGGTTCTGTGGGTCCCAAAGGTAAGTCAAAGGCCCAGGACAGGATGCAACTTTCTAGGGAAGGGCACGTCCAGGACGGATCGGACAACAGGGGTCCCAGACTGTGCAGGGTGTGGGTCCACAAGGTGTGCCCCACTCTGTCGAGCCCCTGGGGATCAAGATGGGGACTGCAACTTTGGCCCATGGTAGGGCTGGGCCCCGTCTGCCCCTCTTCAGTGGCCACACGGTGCGTTCCCTAGGTGGGTGGACAGAGTCAGACAGTCTTCACTGCTGCTGGGCCCCCAGGCACACACATGGAAAGCAACATGTCAGACGGCGGGGAGAATGGGCTCCATCTCACACTGATACCCATCTGGCCCCTCCCCTCCTGACCCCCACCCAGCCCAGAGTCCTGCAGCCTCATTCTTAAGGAGGACATTGTCCTGGGGTCCCTGCTGGACCCTCTAACACAGGGCCCTGGTGAGGACCCACACTGGGCATGGTGTACACCCACACAGTCCTCCCCGGAAGTGAGCTCCCTCCACCCTCACCTGCCCGTCAGCACCGGACCCTCTGCCCATCTTCTCTTCCTCCTCCTCAGGTTCCAGTGGCTCGCCGGGCCCCCACGGACCCCCAGGTCAGTATGCTGCTTCTTGGAAATGGGTGCTGTTTCTGGGGAAAGAAAGGAGGGATGTTAAAAGGAAAACCAGACCTTTCTAAAGCAAAAGAAGCAATTAGAGCTCCTGGAGACACAAAGCTCAAAGCCACATGCGTGGCTGAGTCCTGATGGATCCTGTCTGGATCCATTCTGACCTGGTGCAGGGTGCAAGGCCCCCAAGAGCTTCAGCAATAGGCAGTTCACATCCTGCCTGCCCCTGCCTTGTCCCCTATGGGCCAGAGAGCTTGTCCTGGTGCCCTGAGAACTGTGAACTGCAGCCAGGGTCATGCGGGGTGTTCCAGTGCCAGAGCCAGTGATTAGCAGGGCAAGGAACCTGGGCTGGGATGGTTTCACAGGAGTTCATGCACAGCAGCCTTTGACTTTGACTCCAGGATGTGTATGCCTGGAAGTATGTGTGCTGGGGTAGTGTGTGTACATTTGTGTGTGTGTGTGTGTGTGTGTGTGTGTGTACAAGCACATGCATGTGTATCCGTCCCCTGGAGGATGGGACACTCATCCACCTGTATGCTTTCCTCTGGTGAGCAGGCTCTATGGGTGTCCAAGGGCCCAGAGGTGAAGTGGGACTTCCTGGCACTAAAGGTGAGCCGGGAGGGGCTGGGAGGGGGAGCAGGTCACCCTGTGGATGCTCTGTGTTCCAGAGGGAGGGCTGGGGAGCGGGAGTGGCTGACAGGTACGACCCACAGTCCCACAGCCTGTGCAGTCCCATGCAAGAGGGGAAGTGAGGCAGGGAGAGCTGTCTCTGCAGACAGACGCTGACCCACCTTGGCCGTCCCCTGCAGGGCCTTTACACCAACGTGCCTATTTCCTTCTCAGGTGACAAAGGGCTCATGGGGCCAACAGGACCCAAAGGTATGCCATTCCCGTCACTGCTCAGCCACCCCCGAGCCTTGCTCCTGCCTTGCTCCTGGGACCCAGGAGGGACCCCCTGGTGAAGATCTGAGAGCACATATGCCTGGTTCTCAGAGCCTGCAACCGAGAGGGAGCCTTTCTTTTCTTCTTTTTTTTTTCTTTCTTTCCTTCTTATCCCATCTCTCAGATAGGGAAACTGAGGCACAAAGAAAAGAAAGCATCATCACCACATAGCCATGGTGGAGTGGTCCTTGGGTTGCTGGTGCACATTTTGAGGTGTCTGTCCTCCTGCACCCAGGACACCTGCTTGAGAAACTGCAGGGCTTGGAGTCAACTCATGCCCCCCCCCCACCGCCCACCGGGCGATGGACCCTGACCCCCGGCTTATCCTGTGCTGTGTTCTGGCAGCACCGGGCTGCCAAGAGCTTTCACGTCCCTGCGAGCCATCCTGCAGGCCAGGGACCCTGTTACCCAGGAAGATGGTCTCCCTTGCTCACAACTGATGTTTCTTCTAGGTGACCAGGGTGAGAAAGGACCTCGAGGGCTCACAGGTCAGTCTGCACAGGAATCTGCTTTAATCTACTCACGAATTTTAAACTTACCAGTCACTGCCGGTGGGAAAAATACAGAAGGATGAGATAGAATCTGTCCACGAACCTTCAGGGAACTTGCTGTCTAGAAAAGGCACAAAGATAGATAAAGCTGTAAGAGATGAGCAAGGACCAAAATGTATAGTCCAAACAGTAAATGTTTGGACAGAAAGAGGAGTCTGTAGTTGTCTCTGATTCTTTTGGGGAATCCAGATGGGAATATTAACAAGCAATTCTCAAAGTAGCAGAAAGGGTGACCCACGGCACCCTCTCAGCCGCATACCTCAACTGGTGTGACCGAAAAGGAAATCAATGGATCGTGATGATGCTTGACCCCAAGGGGGGCTTTGTTTCCAGGGATGAGACTCATATGCATGCCCCTTTGGATCAGGATTGGCTTTGCGTCAGAAGCCCAGGGGAAGGGAGGGGAGTGGCCCTGGGCTCGGAGTCAAAGCAGCAATCCCCTCCCGACTTGCTCTGGTGGGAAGAGGGGCAGGCATGATGGGGTGCTGGAGCATGGTGGGGTGCGGGGCCAAGGGGCATCTCGCTACCCTGGCCACAGATACACAGCTCACCTGGCCCTCTGTCCTTTGCAGGTGAGCCTGGCACCAGAGGTTTGCCTGGGGCTGTGGGCGAACCCGGAGCTAAAGGAGCAATGGGTGAGTGTCCCAGAGGGCGGCTGCCGTGGGGTCTGCCCCGTGAGGGCAGTGGTCACCATGGTCCTGCAGGGACCCTTCAGGCTCCCTCCCTTACTCCCTGGAAGTGGAGGACAGGCGCGGGTAGGGGCCCTTTGGAACCCCAGCACTCAGGGCCAGAGCCAGGTGGCCGGTACCTGTCAGGGGGCTGTGAGATCTGACCAAGAATGTCCCAAGGACCAGGCCCCACTGAGTCCCAGAAGGGCGTGAGCCCCACAGTGGAGATGCGGCCCCTTCACCATCGGATATTTAGCCGACTGTTCATAAGAACCACCTGCACGTGGGACAAAGAAGACAACCAGCAAATCAGATACTTCACCCCTGCAAGGGGAGATGAAGCCTGTGAGAGGTGACAGGTGGTGAAAGGCATCAAATGCCATGGAGAGAGAGAAAGTTCTTCCTCCAAGAAGGGTGGAGGAGGTGGCATTTCAGATGGTCCTAGATAGAGGAAGCTTTAATAGGCACCCCAATCGGAAAAGTCCGCATGCAGAGAGGACAGTGTGAGTAAAGACAGAAAAGCAGGACACATCCCGGAAGGACGCCACTTTGGGTGGAGACTAGGAAGGCACCTGGAGCAGGAGAGGGAAGAGCATGGGGGACTTTGACTTCCAGGACCCGAGGACATGAAGCAAGCACTTAGGAGCATCCAGGCCCTTGACAGTGATGCTCAGCAGAAGGGAGACAATTGCTGGCCTAGGGGAAGGGGCAGGGAGAAGGCCGTATCCAGGGTGTGACCAAGGCAGGGCTTCTCTCCAGCTGGTGGACACAGGAAGAGCTGCGTGGGCCGCTGCCTGAGAGACTGTGTGCTCTGAGGCTACTGGGGCAGGACAGGCGAGGAGCCACAGCAATGGCTCCCCATAACTGATGGGCTTCGCTTTTCTGCTTTACCAGGCCCCGCTGGCCCCGATGGACAGCAAGGCCTAAGAGGTTGGTCTCCACTGTTCGCCCACCCCTGCCACCACTTCCTGCCCTACCCGTGTCCCTGCCTGCTCTCCGTGGGGAAACGCATGGTCCAGTTCTTTCTCTCCTCCCCCTCACCTGCCCGCAAGTCAGTTAGCAAACCCCCGGGAAGCCATGAGCAGGGCGGTGTGGGCAGGCGAGCCCTCCTCGCAAGCACCCTCATGACTGATGCCCCCCCAGGTGAACAGGGCCTGACGGGTATGCCTGGAGCCCGAGGCCCTCCGGGACCTTCTGGAGACCCAGGAAAGCCAGGTAACAGGGCAGGAAGAGGGCGACACAGCCCCGCTGAGTGTGTGCCTAGGTCTGCCCATGGGGGACTCCACGGTGTGCGTGGGGGTGCTGTGCTTCACATGTGCATGGTTGTGTGTGTGCGTGTACGTGTGCGTGCGTGCACAAGTGTACCCTCACGTGCCTCGTTCCGGTTTCCTCCCAAGCCCAGCAGGGACCCACACAGCCGGCTGTGCTGTATGCAATGGCTGTTCACCAGGCAGTTTGGAGAGCAGGTTTAACAGCTGAAAGCTAGGAACTCTAGAAAGGGGAAAGGACGCTCCTAAAATTGCAGCCCTGAACGCCAGCTCAATGCCTTGCTCCTCTGGGCCTTTCTCTTCCAGTCCTCCTCTCCCTCAGCGATTCCTGCCAGCCCCAGGAGAGAAGGCCCTGTTACTCTCCAACGAGGGCCACAGGAGAGCAGGGTTCTCAGGTCATCAGGAAGAACAGATCCAGACCAGCCAAGGTCTAGGGCAGTACGGAGGTTCATGGCTGTGTTTGGGGTTCCTGGCTCACCTCAGATTCCAGAAGTCTGTGAGCCTAAAAGGCCCAGAACCAGCACCCAGTGGAGCAGCGGGTCTCTTCACTACAAAGTCCAAGACCTGCTCTGGGAGGAGCCTGGACTCCCCTGCCCCTGCAGGGCTGCTCCTCCTGCTCCCACTGCCCCTCCTGGGCCACATCCACCTGCCCTACAGGGTCAGGGCGTAGGTCCTTGGGCCTGACTGCTCTCAGCCCTGAGACTCTTATCTCTTGTGCCTTATTTTCTACAGGTCTCACAGGACCCCCAGGACCCCAGGGTGAGTCATGGGGTCCCTCCCACGTCCTGCTAGACAGGCCCCTTGGCCAGCACTTCTCCTCCAGGAGTGCTGCCTCCTCCTCCCTCAGCCCCCAGAAAACATGGGCTCAGGGCCTCCCCGGGCACCTTGCGAAGGACAGTGGAGATTAGATTGTGTGCTGATTCTGTCTTCCTGGTGCAGGGATGCCTGGGAGGAGGCCCTAGGCCCATGGGGAGCTCCTGCTGGCTAGGAGTTCTGTAAACCAGCAGAGGCTCACGTTCCCTGCTGGCACGAGGAGGTGGGCACCCCCTCACTCAGGGGACTCAGTTTCTCTGGGGCAGGCTCTTTTGTGTTCGAGAAATCATCTCCACACTCGGCCTCTCATTTCCTAAAGGAAACTAGGCAGACTTAAAATGAAACCAGGCAGCAGGCCCCCAGGGATGGAATGTACAGTGCCATCCTTCAGATCCCCCCAGGGAAGACAGAAGGCCCAGCCCCAGCTGAGCACAGTGCAGAGGGGCTAGAGTCCTGCCCAGCTGAGCCCAGGGCCTCTGCCAACTGCAAGCCCAAGGGTTGCCCTGTTTCCCACAGAGAGACAGAGCTCAGGGCTGCCTGGGCTAAAACTGAAGGCCAGGCTGGCACGGCTGTGCTGGGTGACAGAACTAGTTACTGCCCAGGGCACCTGGGACAGCTGGGCCTGAGTTACCCCAACCGACCTGTTTTTAATCACATCAGGACTTCCCGGGTCCCCTGGCCGACACGGGAGTAAAGGTGAGTGATTTTCCAATCGAGAGTCTTTTTCTTTACACAGGCCATTTTCGCAGGAGGGAGGGACTGGCAGGAGCGGGGACTGGAGGAGGGAGGGCCCTCTCTAGCCAAAGCCTGGACCAACAGTGGCATCTAGTGGCTCCAGCCAAAGGCTGAGAGGTGGGAGCTCCAATCTTTGCTGAACAAGGGGCCTAGGTCCTCACGCCCCACCCCCAGAGCTGGGCCCAGCTGTCGCAGCTCCAGCCACTGTGGCAGCAAGGTCAGGAATGGTACTGCCTGCCCCCTGCCTTCTCATTCCCTGGGCTGCCTCCAAAATACCCCCTTAGGCAGACCCCCACTCGTGTGACTCTTCCTCCAGGACAGGAGCCACCCTGGGCCTCGTCCTTCACGCAGGCCTTGGCGTGACTGGGGACACCCGATGCTCCCGAGAAGTGGCTCTGTGTAGGCAGAGGGGCCTGTTGCCACCTAGTAAGAGGGCAGAGTCGAAGGACCGAGGCAGGACAGGATCCTCGGGGTCAGGCTGGGCAATGCGGTGACCTTGTGCACACAGTGAGGCCCTCTCCACTCCGCCCCACGAGACACCAGCCCTGAGCAAGCCCAGGGGTGCACAGTTCCCAGCATCAGGCCTCCTGTGTTCCTGGGACCCCGACTCCTGCACCCCAATGCTCTGGGGCTGGGCCATTGTGCTGAGTCACCATCCCCCTTGGTGGGGCCCCAGGGAATAACCCTCCCAAGAACTAGTCCCAGTGCCTGCTTGGGCTGAGCAATTTGGGGGGATAAATACATGTAACCCTAAAACGATGACAACTGAGCATACAGAAACCCTGTTCTTCTGCCTGGCCACGGGGGCTTCAGACCCTCCCAGGGTAAGGTGGGCAGGAGGGGACATCTTACCTCATGTTGGATTTTTGCTCCAACAAAACTCACTCAGCGTTTTCTTCTGTTTGTCCCTGATCCCTAGCTGGGGAAGAGTGAGCAGAGGTCATACTCTGTTCCCTTTAGTTGCTCACAAAGCTTTGGAAATGAAAAAGAGAAGCCCCACAAGAATCCCCGGCTAAAGGCCCCGTGACACGTGAATCCCACTTCCTCCTCTTGGAAGTCCTTCACAAACTCGGCATTCTCAACACTGAGAGTCAGTGGCAGGAAAGACCCGTGGCTTTTTGTGCCTCAGGGTTTCCCAGACTGCCAACCCCATGGCTCCTCTTCCTGTCATCCCAGGGAAGGAGAGTTCTGGGCAGCGTGCCAAGACTCCCAGTTCACCTCCTGGGCCCATGGCCTCTGTCCTCTGTCCTTTGGGTAATTTTCCCACCTAAGGTGACTCCCAGAAGAGAGGATGGGAAGGGAGCTGTGACTGACTCGGTCAGCCTCCTTCAGCTTCACCTCCCACATCCTCCCAGGAAGCCCCTCTGTGTGTGGATTGATGCTCAGCCTCCAGGGTCCGAGACAGGCAGGGAGATGTGTATGCAATGCATCCTGCAGACCCCTAACTTCATTAAAAAGGCTTTAGACTGAGGGCAAGAGCCACAAGTGGGCCTCAACTGCAATCCGCCAGAAGCCTCAATAATGATGTATTGAGCACTAATTGATCCCTGACCTCTCCTCTTCACTGCCCCCACCAGGTGAACCAGGTGCCCCAGGCAGGATCATGACTTCAGGTACGCAGGCTGGGAGCAGTGCTCCTCATGGTGTCCTTACTCCTCACATGTGCCGTGACCTAAGCGGCCTTTCTTGAGCAGGATTCTTGGGAGTCTCTTTTCAAATGAATGCTTTACAGTTTTGTAGCCTTGAGCCTGTGGTGGATGAGGTCTTGGGACTTCTAAAATGCTTTTAAATTATCCTTATTGTCCTGATGCAATAACTTGGCTCCTTTTTTGGTTTTTTGAGATAGAATTTCACTGTGTCGCTATAGTTCAGGCTGTCCTTGAATTCACTTTGTATAGTCCAGGCTGGCCTCGAACTTGTGGGAGTTCTCCTGCCTCAGCCTCTTGAGTGTTGGGATTACAGGCGTGTGTTACCATGTTCAGCTTTTGGCTTCTTTTTAATGTTCATCTTTTCTGCAACTACATACACCAAGGTACCAACTTTGCAGGCACTTTCTCTTTGAGAAAACTACCAACTTGCTCTGCCATTTGCTCCTGATTCTCACTATAAATCTAGCTAAAAAGCAACAAGAAGTACCCATACCACAGCATGAATGTTGGGCTGCTTTGGAATTTTCTCTGCCAGATTAATTAGTTGGTTGTCCTTAATTTCAGTCTCCCACAAAATCTCAGAACATGGGCAGAACACAGATACATTTTTCTGCCAGAGTACAATGCACATCCTCTAATCTAAGTGCCAATGGAGTCTTGTTCTCAGCTGAAACCTCCTGAGTTGGGCATTTACTCCCTACATTTCTATCATCATGCTGGTTTTCTGAGCTCTCACTCAAATCTCCCATCAAGCTTGGCTTAAAGCACTGCTCAGGTCACCTGCCTTAACTCTGCCATGTTTTGCAAGAAGCACCAGTCAGCAGGCCCAGTGCTAGGTACAGGCTATAATGGTCAGCTCTTTGGGTCTGTAGCTGGGAAGGGGGAAACTCAGAGGTAATGAGAAGCGAAGACATCAGTCTGCCGTGCTATGCACACCAGTGCTTCAGAGCCAAAGACTGAGCTCAGTGTCCCCTGTGCTTTCTGTTTTCAGATGGCTCATCAATGGTCACTGTCGCAGGCCCCCCAGGGCCTCCTGGCGTCATGGGACCTCCAGGACCTCCAGGTTCTCCAGGTCAGTTTGTTTTCTTACTTCACCCTAATGAGCAGGTGTTTGCCCAAATCCTGAAACTAGACGCAGGAATCCAGGAAAGAGAGCAAGGGGCCTCTGAGAAAGCCAAGTTCTGTTTCCAGGAGAGGAGATAGGTTGCTCAGCAGAGGAGGGAAGGCTGACTCTCAAAGAGGGCACATGATTTGCTGAAAGTCACATAAGCAGCAGACGAAGGATTCAATCCAGATCATTTGGCATCCAGGGCTGGAGACCAATCAGAGGCCATTGTTTCTTCTTGGAAAACAATTTGAAAAAGGCATTAAAGGCAACACAAATGCTAGTTGTCTACTAGCAACACACATCCCCACATCATCCAGCACCATGGGATGGTTACAAAAATATGAAGACTTCAGAAAACAGTCACGGGAAGATAGTAGTTGCAGTTAAAAGAGCAAGACATCAAGGGTGTGTGCTCTAGGCTTGTGGCTATATTTTATAAGATGCAAAAAAAAAATGGTGGAAGGAAACAAAATGCTCAGAAGTCAAAGAATTAGGATTTTTCCCCTACTTTTCCAAAATGCCTATAATTTTGTGTATGTGTTTTGAAGGGCTGGGATGTAGCTCACTGATAGAGTTTAGCAAGTGTGAGGCCCTGGGTTTGATCCTCAGCACTAAGAATAATCCATTAATTAAATACTTATACACAACCAGCCCAAGAACCTACTTGCCTTCCTTCCTGACAAACTCCAATGAGAGGGAGGCTTCGGGGCACACAGAGGTTGCTAATCAGGGCAGGACAGTGTGGATAGGACAGCCTGCCCACCTGAGGGGTCCAGGTGCCAGTCCAAGGCTCTCACACAGCTGGTCCCAAACTGCTTACCATTCTCCATATGAGCACGCTGACTCCACGTCTCGGGAGGAGTCCTTGTGTACCCTATGCTGCCTTTCCTCAGCTCTGCGTGTGACCCCAGAGTTGTGACTTAGCCTTTCTTTCCCAATGCCATTCCCAGGTCCTGCTGGCCCTGCTGGTCTCCCAGGACAGCAAGGTATGTCACACCCTGAGAAAACAGAGGCTCTGGGCCCAGTCAGGGGACTGTCCAAGGGAGGCTTGGGCCCGTGCTTTAGCTCAGGGACAGATGTGCGTTTCAGAAAGGGAGGAGAGGGGCCACCTCCTCTTGCTCTGCTCCATATTTCTGGGAGGGTTGGGTCCTTGGGACAGGAGGATTGAGGCTTTGTGGCCCTCGGTCAAGACTGAACTCAGTTATTTTCATAGGCCTCAGGCCTCTTATGACCAGACCCTGATAATCGCAGTTTTATCCAAATATCAGAAAACAGCCAGGTCTTAGGAAAAGCGATGGAGTTTTGGCTGCAGACAGAAGTGCATGCCCACTGTCCAGGCCCTGGCCCTGCTCACTCATCTTAGCCCCACCCTCCCTCTTCCCTGCATCTGGCCCATCCTGCCCTCTGGCTCCGCCCTGCACCTGGCCTTTCCTGAGGGAAAGAGAAATCGATTGCTGCAGGCACTGTTCACCGTGACTGTTCTCCCCACAGGCCCAAGAGGGGAGCCCGGACTCACTAGTGAATTGTCCCTGGGCACCGGCACCTCCATCTCTGAGCTGATCTCCTCCCGTGAGTGCCACTGTTCTCTAGAGCAGGTGACAATGGGGCCACTGTGGCTCTCAGGCAGCTGCAGCAGTGAGTCATCTCAAGGGTTCTCCTTGAGGGTGACCAGTTCCCATGCAGCAAGTGACAGCTGAGAGCAGCAGGGCCTGTCTGCCAAGGGCAGGTCAGGGGCCTGGGATGGGACAGCTGTCGCGGAGCCTCTGGGGCCCTAGGAGGACCAGGGTCAGACGGGTCTTGGGCTACAGCTGGCAGGAACAGGGCACCTCCTACTGGCAGAGGACAAGGGCTGACTCCTGCATCCTCCTGTCCACAGAGCCCTTCGAGAGCCCGGGTGGCCTGGGTCTGACAGCACAGGCCTGTAATACCAGCTGCTTGGGAGGCAGGGGTTTGCAAGTTCAAGGCCAGCCTGGACAACTTAGTGAGACCTTGTCTCAAAAACAAAAAGGGCTAGCCGGGCGTGGTGGTGCACCCCTGTAATCCCAGCACTTGCGAGGCTGAGGCAGAAGAATCACTCTGAGTTCGAGGCCAGCCTGGGCTACATAGTGAGACCCTGACTCAAATCCAAAACAAACGAACAAAAAGGGCTAGAGATGCAGCTCAGTGGTGAAAGGTTTTCCAGTATGACAGAAAAAAAGCCCAAGCGAAGCTGCACCAGGGCCTAGGCCAGAACACCTGGGCTGCTGAACAAGCAGGTGCTGCTGTTGCGTTAGGGTCTTCGAATTCTGCCCGAGACTTCACAGGACCCTGTGGGTTCCATTGACCCTGGCTCACCGAGGAGGGCACTGAGGTGGAGAGGGGTGGAGGACTTGCCTGAGGTCATCACCCAGACTTGCAGGAGCAGGGATTTAAACCCTAGCTGCCGCCCAGGCCCGAGCTCTTACCATGGCTGCGCACACTCACGTGGTGTCTGACTGCTGCCCGCCTGCCTCTGAGCCGCGCACCCTCAGCCACAAGGTCCCCAAAGGCCCCAGTGCCCAGAGCCCTCGCTCATTTCCGCTTGCTTCTCTCTACAGAAGGTGTTGACTTACGAGGTCCCCCAGGCCCGCCTGGGCCACGAGGACCGCCAGGTGAGCATCTCAGCGGCTGCCAGTGGGAGGTCTTGGGGGGCAGAAGCCTCGGGCACTGATGGAGGAAGCCCAGGTCCAGGCTCCAGGGAGTGCAGCGCTGCACTCAGCACGTCCTCTCACCCATGCTGTCCTGCAGGGCTGTCTATCCCAGGCCCACCCGGACCCCGAGGCCCAGCAGGTGAGTTGGAGCTCCTGCTGGAGTGGGAGGTGGGGCCATGGGACCCGGAGCACTGTGAGAAAGAGCATCACAGCTCCCTCTGGGCAGAGAGCTCCCGAGATGGCACCAATGCGCTTGGGGCTTCTCTCCCCCAGGGGAAGGCTTGCCAGGCCCACCAGGCCCGCCTGGATCTCTCCTGACGGACTCAGGTAATGCTGTGCAGCTGAGTCACCCCTGCCCCACCTGAGCACTTGCTCCAGCCCAGGCTTCCCAAGCGGCTCCCGCTGGTCCTCTGATTTCACGGGGCCCGTGGCTGCGTGCGGGGAGATGAACCGTCCCAGCCCAGCCTCGCTGGTAGCCCGGCCCTTGGGGGGCTTCTGGATTGACTGGGGAGGCCGATTCCTATCTCTGGGGAGCCCAGGTCTGATAAAGTAAGCAGGACAGAAGTGGAATATAGAAACTTACGGAAATAACTTCAGAGCAAACATCGGGCCACAACTCAGCGCATGTGGAAGAGTCATCCGTCCACCCATCCATCCGTCCATCCGTCATCTTCTCATCCACTCTTCTGCTCTTCCACTCTTCCGCTCATTTTTATGCCCAGTCTCTCAGCCATGCAAACATCTGAGCATCCGCCGTCCATCCGACAAGCGCTGACAGCGTCTGCAGTGTGCCAAGCTCGCACTGTGCCTGTAGCAGCTGCTGCCCCAGAAATGACAGCACCTACCTCATGCTATTGCCTTCCTCCACAGAAACCTTCTTCTCCGGCCCCCCCGGCCCCCCCGGCCCCCCAGGCCCCAAGGGAGACCAAGGTGAGAACAGCCTCAGAGCCCACAGCCAATGTGTGTGCCCTCTGCACCCCTGGTAGCCAGGGGAGTCCAGCTGAGGCTGGGTGAGCAGAGGCTTTTCTCGGTCCTCCTGTCAGCATGCAGCATGGGGCACGAAGGGGACAGGCAGGTAGCTGGAAACTGCAAAGGCCCCTGCCCTGTGGTGACCTGGCGGAAGGAGAGGCACAGGGGTTCCCGACTCCGTGTCCCCCTCCATGGGCCCCATGAAGCCAGTGTCTGGCTGGCAGGTGCCTCTCAGCTCTGCCTCCTTCCCACAGGTCCCCCAGGCCCCCGAGGACATCAAGGTACAGTGGAGCTGGAATCACACATAACCTGGGGTGGGGATGGGGTGGCAAGAGCTGACTTCCTGGAGCTTGGAGCTGAGTGGAAGTGCATCTGGGAGGCCAGAGCCTACTCCGTGGAGGGCTGAGTACTCTGTACTCTGTGTGTGTCTGTAGCACAGATGTGTGCATGGCCAGCACTGACCAAGGGGCTGCACAGGCCGGACAGTCCCGGGCTCCCCCAATGGAAGGCAGGTGGGGTGGATCGGGAGGAAAATGAGACTGACCCCCCTCTCCTGGGTGTTCCTCAGGCGAGCAAGGCCTCCCAGGGCTCCTGGCCTCAGGTAAGTGATGACCACCACCCAACGTGGGTGGGGCCAGAGCCTCTGTCCACCCTGGCTGATGGCACGGGGTGTGTTATTGCCTTCCAGATGGCAGCTCTCTTGGATTCAACCTGCAGGGACCTCCAGGCCCACCTGGTCCGCAGGGACCCAAAGGTGACAAAGGTCAGTGAGGGCAGCCTGGCCCCTGAGCCCCGCCTTGAATGGAAGGTCTGAGTGCGCAGTGCTCAAGGTTTGGGAGAGAGAAAAGGCAGGAGGAAGGGAGAGAAAGGACAGGCATGTGAGACAGTCCCTGCCCAAAGGCAGCACGTGGTGTCATTGCAAAAGCAAGACAGTTGCTGAGGCGCACACTCAGCGTGCTGGGCTTCAGCAGGGAGGGGACACAAACGGGGCTTCTCCCCTTGGATTGCAGGTGACCCTGGCATGCCTGGTGCTCCCTCTCGAGGTAAGAGCCAAAGGCGGCCAAAGTTCCTCCCCTCTCCTTCAAGAGAGGATGGTGGATCAGTGAAGACTCCGATCTTGGTTCACTTACTTATCTGTGACTCAGTGTCCACACAGCCTTCCCGTGGCTGGGATCCACGAGCTGCCTTAAGGAGGTGGGGTGCTGGGGGTGATACCTCTACGACTGGCAGTCTATGCCAGCACTGCCACCAACAGAGCAGGGCTGGCAGCCGTGGCGTCTGAGGGGAGTGAGATGGGGCCTGGGACAGGCGTGGCCTTTCTCTGGCGTTCTAGTCTCCCTCTGAGAGAGCCCTCCTTCCTCAGCCAGGGGCGCGCTGCCTGCGTCTGGCCTAGGGTAGAGAAATCAAGTGGGGCCACCTTCTCTTCCTGCAGGGGGCTCCTCCAGCACCGTGTACACGCCTGGCCCACCCGGCCCACCAGGGCCCCCAGGGCCTCCAGGCTCCCTCAGAAGCTCTGCCCTGGAGATCCGGCAGCACCTCTCTGAGTACCTGCAGAGTGAGTGGCCAGCCACCACGCTTGGGGTTGCGCGGCGCAGTGTGCGCAGTGTGCTGGGAGAACAGCCTCTATGGCCAGGCCCGGCCTTCTGGCCCTGCTGGCTGGCCTGCAGGTCAGGGAGTCGCCTCAGATCACCTGAGCAACACAGGCCCCTGCCTCCGTGTCTCTGTGGGTAACAAGGGAGTCCAGGCTCCCTGCCGGCCCTGCGTGCGCCCATTTCACCTCTGTGACGGCAGGAGGACAGGCCTCCTGGGCCAGGCCTGACTTCTTCTTGCTCTTGGCAGGTGACAGCATCAGGGCCTACCTGTCTGGAGCTCAGGGCCCCCCGGGCCCCCCTGGCCCCCCAGGGCCCATCAGCACCATCACAGGCCAGACTTTTGAGTACTCAGAGCTGGCCAGGCACGTTGTGAGCTACCTGCAGGGTAAGCCTGTCCCCACCCGAAGCACCGCCCTCCTCCCCGGGACCTGGTCTCCCAGCTCGCCACTCACTTCCCCCCGAGTGTGGCCGCCACCATGCACCCCTCACCACCAGGCCCTGCGGTCAGCCCTGCGGGAGAAAGGAAGCCACGCAGGAGCCCCACACTCAGGGCATCCGCCTGGGGCGCTCCTGACTTCTTGTCTGAATCTCCGGGTGGGCAGGATGTAATAAGAGTGAGTCCAGAGCATATTCTGGAAAACAAGCCTGCCTTTCTCATCAACAAAGCAGCAGCGACACTGCCCTTTGGCTTCTCATGCTCTCTAAGTAGCATGCGCTGCCGGGTTCCTCCCCAAAGGCAGCGCCTAGTAGACCGGGGCTTTCAGACCCACAAGCATCTGCCTCGGGGCCCGCAGCAGTCACCTGAGGTCTCCTTCCCACAGCTTCCGGCTACAGTGTCGGCATGTCCTCTGGCTCCATCTCCTCTCAGGACATCCTGGCCTTGCTGCAGCGTGAGTGGCCTGTCTGGGCTCCTTCCGGCTGCAAACAGGGGGGCGGGGAGTCCTTCAGGACCAGGAGCCACCGGCTTATTGCTCCACGTGACAAGGGGACTGGAAAGGTGGTGGGGAATCTGCCCTCTGCCCTGATGCCATGCAGGCAGGTGGGCAGGCAGACATCTGCAGGGATCCGGAAGCTGGCTGATCCTCTGACCACTGCAGGCCTGAGAACCCAGAACTACAGCTGGCACTGGGAAGCCAGACAGGGCAGGGGGACGGGCTGTGGCTGACAGGGATCCAGGTTAGCACATCCTTCCCTTTCAGGGGAAGATGTACTCCAGTATCTGCGGCAGTACCTGACAGGCCCTCGGGGTCCTCCGGGGCCCCCAGGAGCCAGCGGTGATGGGGCCCTCCTGTCATCTCTGAACTACTCGGAGCTAAGCAAGCGCATCCTCAGCTACATGTCGAGTGAGTGTCTGGCCTCCTGGTGGCTGCGCTGACCCCTCCTGCTGGGCTGCACAAAAACAAACCCCACAGAGGGAGTGGGTGGTCCCAGCAGGGGAAGCCAGATGGGCGTGTGGGGTTTTCACAGAGCACACGCGCACGCACGCGCACACACACACACACACACACACTGAGGACTACTGTGGGCAGCTGTGACCTGCACTCCTTCCTCTCTGTCCTCCCCGTGGGGTCACTGCCCCACTCTTGTCACTCCTTTCCCATCCTGGGGCTCCATTTCTGTACGCAGCCCTCTGTCTGGCCTCTTCTCTCGTGGGGCATTTGCATCTGCCCGCCCCCCTGATCTTAACCCATCACAACTTGGGACTTTGTCTCCAGGTTCTGGCGTCAGCATTGGGCTTCCTGGCCCGCCAGGCCCCCCTGGCCTGCCTGGGACATCTTACGAGGAGCTGCTGGCCTTGCTCCAAGGTAGGGTCGGGCAGGGGCGTGTCCAGGGTGTTCAGGGTGGAAGCAGTGTCCTGCCCAGGCCATGACTGACTCCCTGCTTGCTCTGGTGTGGCAGGGTCTGAATACAGAGGCATCATCGGACCCCCAGGGCCCCCGGGGCCCCCCGGGACCCCAGGCAGTGCGTGGTCCAGCATCAGCGTGGAGGACCTGTCATCATATTTGCACAGTAGGTCGCTGGGACAGGGATGAGGAGGGCAGAGGGCTGCAGCTGGCCGGGAGGGCACCCAGAGGTATAGTGGGGGTGGTCAGTCCCCAGGTCCTCCCAAGCATGCGCAGAGCAGGCCTCAAGTCGCAGGGAGGGCCCAGCCCTGCCAGGTGGGGCTGTGAGACAGCTCCCTACCGCAGCCCTTGGAGAGCTCAGAGCCCCCTGCGATTAGGGCCACCCCAGCCCTCCTGCTGCTCCCTCTTTCAAGGAAGCTCAGCCACACCACCACCCCTTTCCACGACCCTAGGCTACATCACCCTTGACCTCTCTCCTGCCTTCTTTCCTTCTCAGCTGCAGGCTTGTCATCCATCCCAGGCCCACCAGGCCCTCCCGGACCCCCAGGTCCTCGGGGGCCCCCAGGTGTCTCAGCAGCTCTGGCAACTTATGCTGCTGAGAACAATGACAACTTCCGGAGCGAGCTGATAAGCTACCTCACAAGTAGGTGGCTGGGTGTTGTTGTTCACCTGGCCCCTCCTCAGACCTTACCTGTCCCTGTAAGTGTCCCTGGAGTCCAGCAGGCTGGCACTCAACAGTGGGAGAAGCCCTGGCCCTCTCCCAGCAGCGAGCATTCTCCCGCTCCTGTGCGGGGACCCTGAAGTTCACTTTCCATTGCTAAGGGGCACTGAGACCTAGGAGAGACCCACAGCTCCTGTCTTCTGTCCGCCAAGATCCGAGCTTCCTCCCCAACAGGTCCTGACGTGCGCAGTTTCATCGTGGGGCCCCCAGGGCCCCCGGGGCCACAGGGGCCCCCTGGAGACAGTCGCCTGGTGTCAAGAGATGGCTCCTACAGCTGGAGTAGCAGCTCTTCCGTCAGAGAGGGCTCCACCTACGGCTCTTCAGTGGGCGCCAGAGGAGCCAACGGAGGCTCCCTGGGAGGAGGTGGAGCGTTTGGAGCAGGAGATGGGGGCGCCTATGGCACCGACGTTGGCCCCGGTGGAGGCTATGGGACAGCAGCAGAAGGGGCTGCGTACGAAGGCAATGGTGCTTCACTCCGGGCTGGCTTCAGAGACCTGGACTACAACGAGCTAGCTGTGCGGGTGTCAGAGAGCCTGCAGCGTGAGCAGGGGCCGGGCCTGGGTGTGGGGTGAGGCCTCAGCATCGGCCAAGCCTGAGCCTGGGGTGTGGAGCGCCCGGGCTGGGAAGGCAGCAGTGCGGGCGTCAATGCCAGGGACTGAGGACAGGGCCCCACCTTAACTGCTCGCTCAGACACGGCCTCAGTGAACAGACACTGGAGCCTTGGCCTTCTGCTCACCAACACTAACTTGCTCTAGGCCTCCCCAGAGTTGCAAGGATCATAATGGCTTTCCGCTGGGGCTCGTGGAAGGTTGTCAGCTGAGTCTCTCTCCCTATACATCAGCACGCTCACACAGGCCTCAGGAAAGAATGCCCACAGCAGCAGGCCTGTGCCATCACACGGAAGGCAGAGGGCGTCTGCAGGGCTTGAGCTTACCTGCTCTGGGAGTCAGATGGTGCTGAGCATTCCTGCTGCCTAAGCCCACATTCTGGTGTTTTGCAGGTCAAGGCTTGCTACAAGGGATGGCCTACACTGTCCAGGGCCCACCAGGCCAGCCTGGGCCCCAAGGGCCCCCCGGCATCAGCAAGGTCTTCTCCGCCTACAGCAACATAACCCAGGACCTCATGGACTTCTTCCGAAGTAAGGGCTCCGGTTATTTGCCCAGCACCAAACCTTGGCAGTCTCTCATGGGGCCTGTGGTCTGCAGCAACTCGTGGAAAACCTCTATATAAACACCCAAGATGCTGAAAATCAGATAAAGCCCACACACTGTTTCCCTTTACAAGTTCACACTCCAGCACTGTACATCTGGGTTACTTTGAACAAATCACTTTACCCCCAAGCTTCAGGCAATCTCTAGTCTAAAACCAGTCTTTTGCCCTTGCAGCTCATGGGGCCATTCCAGGCCCGCCAGGGCAGCAGGGAGAAGTGGGCATCCCCGGACCTAAAGGTAAGGGAGGCAGGAAAACGGCCACCTGGACCCTGTGCAATGGCAACCCTGGCTGGTGCCACCAGGTGCCCGTGCCACCCCCTCAGCACCCCACTTACTCATTATTCTCACGTCCCACCTGTCCTCCTAGGTGACAGGGGCCCCGCCGGACCACGAGGACTTCCTGGACCGCCTGGCTCTCCGGGGCCCAAGGGGGAAAAGGGAGACAGAGGTAAGCAACGGAGCTGCTCACTAGGCAAGCTCCCGCTGAGTGCAGGAGGCTGGAGCTCAGCAGAGGGCTGACCTGCTCCAGGGCAAACTGTGAGATTCAGACAAATGCCAAGGCAGACACCGCCAAGAGTGAACGTAATTCACATAAAGACCCCAGGGAGGAGGGAAGGGGAAACCAATCTGGTAGTGATGTAAGGCAAACATTTTAAATAAGTTAGAGTCAACTTTCACAATCATCCCTGCAGCAGCCACAGCTGCCATAACTGCCCAAGCTAAGGTCTCATCTTCTTCCAGGCGACCAAGTCTACGTTGGGCGAAGGAAGAGAAGTGTCGCCATCAAGCCATAGGCTGGCCTTGGCTGAGCAGCCCGGGGCCAGTGCTTGCAATGTTTATGGGCCCAAATGTCAGATTCCTCTCCAGAAGGTAAACCTGGCAGCTATGTTCAGTCACACAGAGAAGTCAGTCAGAGACACAATCTGAAACAGCTTCACGGGGTGGCCCCTAGAAGTCATCAAATGTTTTAGGATGATACTTACTTCCCTACTCTCTCAATCCAAGTGCCTTGGCCTCTTTAACACTTAGTTTGAACCCCAATCTAGGAAAGCTAGTTACATAAGAGTTGGCTTGGGAGTCTCAGGGCTTTGCCTAAAAGTGAGCCCTAAAAATGGAAGATGGGGCTTAGGTGCCTTCCCGGAGGGGGCCCGTGAGGGTCTGGTTACTGTTGCAAAGCTGCATGTCATCTTCTCCCTCCTCATTCACCCTGCATTCTCCAGTCACAAAAGACATGGCTAAGAAGTGACTCTCAAAATGGAAGAAATTAAGAAATTCACTTCCCTACTGGAGGTGACAGCATTCCTGATAGCGATGCCACTTGCTTAGTCTGATTATAGCTTTGATCTGTGCCCACCTGCCAATGCCAGAGTTAACAGATACGTTATCCTAAACTGGACTGCAGCAAATGGGACAAGAGGGGCAGTGGGCAAGGAAGGAAGAGGAGGGAAAAGATGCACCTGATGCTGGGGAGACAGCTTCCTCCCACCACCGTGACATCGCCCTCTCCTCACTTAGGAAGGCTGTGGTTTATAAGCACTTCTCACTGTCTAAAACATCTGTATGTGGTCTGTAAGATGAAAAGTCATTTCAAGTGTAAAATTTCCAATTAAAATTTTTTTCTTTTTTAATATCATGTTTAATGTGAACAATGGGAACAAAGACATGCTAGCTTAACTGGGTCTGATACTTTTATTACATACATGAGAAAAGAAAACCAGTTATATTTTGGGTCACACTTCTAGCATTTTATTTAACCACTGAAATGTTTAAAGGCAGCCTTTCTGTAGCTATTAACTCAACCTGGAAATATTACAAAGCATCTGAAGGGCTTTCCTACGCATAGATTTCTTAAAATAAACATAGGTACAACAAATGAGCAACAGGATTATTTGTGATTAATGTAGTGACTTATCCTGGGGCAAATTACGATGGCAGGCTAAGTAATAGATGGACTACCAAGGCCCCTGTTAAGGGAAAATGTACAAATGTCCAATGCCCTAAAGAAACGCAGAGTAAAAGCAGACACTCAAATTCTGAAGAGCTACACTCGGCCAACTTCTAACTTTGTGACAAGTCGTAACTCAGTCTCTGGCTAATTAAACCTGGAGTTAAATTAAATCTACATCTATAAATCTACTCTTCTGCAAGACTGGATTTTTATTGTCAAGAGTGTCTCACTTGCTTTCTGGAGAAAACGGTGTGCTCCCCACCGTATCAATCCGCTCAAGCAGCACCCCCAGCCGAAGAGCCGTTTTACGCGAAGAGGACTTTGGCCCCACTGCTCACCTGGCAGCAACCTACTGTGAGTGGGCATGGGAAACTGTGAAAAGGAGTTCAAGTGCCGCAGTTTCAAGCAACCTGCTTTACTGCCTAATGAAAACTTAATATTGTGTACGACAAATGAAATGCGCCTTTTAAAGTTTTAGAAAGAATTCAGTTTCATTCAAAAGATGAATTTTCTTTTCCTTTTTAAAATAGTACTTTTTACTTTGGGGTTCAAGTATTGTATCCCCTTTAATAATAATTCTTTCATTAATCAGACCTAGGAATTTTCCCCTTGTTATGAGATTTACTGTACTATGATATCCAAGTCTTCAGAGAGTTTTATGCCCAAGCAAAATAGGGTAAAAGCCCAAACTTGCAGACATGAGAGATGTCCTCAGCTGCATGGCCATGGATCTGAGCCTCTTTTGTTTCATTAGAAGAAAAAAAAAAAGAAAAATGAATGAGCTCAATAATGCACAATGCTCCTAGAATAGAAAGGACATGTGACACTTCTCTCCAGCCAAGCTAAACACCTGCCAAATGATGCTGCCCAGTGAAATGCCCACTGAATCTCCTATGAACTTAGCAATGAATGACAAAAAGGTTATTTTGGCAGAACTGAGATCATAGAACTTGAAATGCTTGGAAGGAAAAATAACCCATGGGGGCAGTAATAAAATCAAGTACATATGCATTTGACTGTGGAAATAATGTAAGCACCTCCAGAAGGACAGCTGCACACTGAAAGACACACCAGCCAGTTACCAGTAAGTATGTGGTGTACGTGTGTGTACACCTCAGACAGCAAGGAACACTAATAAATTTACAAAGTCAAAAGGCCTGGAGGATGGCGAAATATAATTACGGACCCAAAAAAGCTGCAAAGTATTCTCGTGCAGGATAACCCATCTTCAAAGATTATCCATCAAAAAAAACAGCTTCCCAAGATAGATTAAGAAATAACTTTATTTTTGTTTGTCAATCCCATGATTGAAAAGACAATACTGATCCCAAATAGACAAGAGGCATAATCTGAAACAAAATTCTTTCTGAAGTTTAGCTTGTGAGCTTATTACACTGCAAAGAATCACAAAAAGCTGCAGCCAACATCTAAAACTGATGGACACTCTATCCCCAGCTTCACAGCAGAGATATTAAAGCATTACGGAAACGATGTTCTCCACACAACAGCAACAATAAGGCATTAACTGTTACGGCTTTGATGTAAGAAAAGCATTTAACGCATCATCCCATTTCCTACAAAATGTCATTTCCCACAAAAGTACAGATTTGCTCAGTCAGGTGACTTTAAAACTGGAGCTCTTCTTCCCCTGCCATTCTAGGTTCTCTTTAACCCCCAGAATCTCCAGCTAACACTGACTGAATCTGGCTTCTCGGAAGAGTCACGTAAGCACAGTATGGAGTGGGAAAGGGTGCAAAGGGAACTGGAAGAGTACAAAAAAGTCACTTCTGAAACTCGCTGATGCTCAAGAGATCAGAGACCCTTTGTGAAAGAAGGTCGCATATGCCTGAGAGCTTTGTGCTTGAGGAAACACTACTTAGAGGTAGCTGTGGTTCTGGTTTATATTTGATTATATTATAATTTGCTGTGTCCTGTCATAGGCAGATTCCAGTATTATCAGCAAAGTAAAAGCACTCTGAATTTCCTCCTCACCCACCCCATAGCTTCCCCTGGAAAAGGGTAAGGAAAAGCTTGATGTGACTCCACCTAGGATAAGAGCTAATTCAGGAACTCCACAGCCTATGGACTGACAGGACTAGGAATGGCAGCCGGATGCCAAGCTCTAGGAGCAGGACCTGCAGAAGTGTGGAGGTCTGGCATGCCCACAGTGCACAGGGAAAAGAGGGGAGGTGACCATTTAGGGTACACATACGGGTAATTCCTTTTTGCATTGCATGGCACATTCTGCTGCAGCAACAACAGAATCTAATTAGAAGTCTGTGCCCCCAGCCACGTTCTGCCTACACTTCATGCAAGAAATAAAGATCACTATTATCTATGTGAAGGGAGGGGTAAAACAGCATATTCTACAAAACACTTTTTGGATAGATTTTTTTATAACCTGAAGAATTATGGAGAATGTTTCCTCTCTACATATGTATCACTGTATAGCCCTGCACTCACATGGACACAGATTTTAAGAGAACTCTGAGCGTGAACAGTGAGTCCGCAGGGCAGGGTCACGGGGATGTGAGAGCTGCTGACAAACTTACCCCTCGTGTCAGCAGCTCTGCTCCAAGCCGAGCCTGGATTCAGTATTCTGAAGGTTAAATTAAAAGGAATAGAAAGAACCAAATAATCAGATCAAATTATGTCCAAAATTATTTAAATGACTGAAAAAAATCCACTGGCTGAAATATTCATTTTTAAACAGCCAATAAACTGAAAATTTCAAAAGATAAAGTGGTAGGAGAGTCTTCCTCCCATCTCCTTCTTCAAATAAATCATTAAATACACTGGGTAACACTATGTTGTCATTTTTATCATAACAATATAAACAATTTCCATCATCATCCTGAATATTACTTTATAAAGATATACATTTTAAAAGGCTTTCAAAACAGTTTTCAACCCAGCACTTGAGAATAAAGCATTAAGAGTTTTGTCTGCAGTAACACATTCATGTGATAAGTGTATGAATTTACAACCATACATAATATATGTGTGTGTGTATATATATATATATATATTATATATATTTATATAAAAACCAAACTTGGCCAAAAGTTAAGGCTACCTACAAAGTTGTCCAAGTAAATTCTGCTTGTCAAAACAATTACAAAATTAAAATTACACATGCATTTTTAAATCATCTAAATCACTGACAAAATAAAATTCAGTATCCCAAAGTTTTCAAATTAACTGCAAGAAAGTGCTACAGGCATTTATTTACATTTTCTTAATATGAATCAGTGTTCTCACAACGTTACATTGACATTTTTCACCAGCCTCAGAAGTAAAATAACTAAAAGCTAAACGTTTACAATGTGGTGCCCAGCACTCTGGAGAGAGCAGGCTGCAATGGCCGGCAACGGGCCTCCTCTACACCAGAGCTCAGTTATAACACTGTTGAACTGACACGTGGTTAGGGTCTAAGCCTCAAAAGGGACTAAGAGTGAACATCTCATTAATAATTACACACATCAGCAACCACGTGATAAAACCTTCAAGCTTTCCCCACTCAAAGTGAATAATTTAAACATGGAACAAAATAAAATCAAAATGTAATAACTTCATTTCAAAACAAAAAGTCATTTATGATGTGTGCCTAAATATTTAAACTTTTTAAAAAAATTATTCTGAATAAATGTTTGAGATTAATTTCAGACAATATATTTATAAGTATAACTCACTCTATAGGCTTCTGAGAGCTTTAAGTGAACAGAACTTGCTAAGATGTACAGAAGTTATTTACCCAGCTCATGTCTTATTTTAGGAAATAAACTAGGACAGCTAAACCTATATTACTTCTAATGTAGTGAGTTTTCCATTTCCAATTTGCACATTTTAAAATATGCTTTTCCCCCATCATCCCAAACTTTGTACAACATATATTTTAGAATGAAAATGGTAACAGGAACAAGATTTTTAAAACAATAATGTTCAATGCTAAGGGTGTTTTGTCCCTGATGATCAAAAAGAAAATCCTATTTTTGGATGTGACTGAAACTTAGGCACTATCTTAATAAAACCAGCACCTCAATTATTAGTGCCCACCTAATCAGGCAATGTTTAAAACAAATTGCTGAAACAATTTTTCTCTTTTAAAAGAGTTTATTCCTATTAAATGATAAAATATTTTTATTTACTGAGTCAATAGCATATTTTGAGCAACTCATAGCTTCTTTTATGAATGCTGCTGATTTACTAGAAGAAAATTATTCCAATTCTTTACAGCAAAGTTCTAACTATAGAATTTAGACATCATTGAAAAGGTAGGTCAGGTAAAAAGATATTAATACTTAGTGATGTAACAGTTCTTTTTAATAACTTTAAACATTATTTCTCTTAACAGTTTTTCAGTAACTGTCTAAAGAATACAATATTTAAGGTTAATATACAAAATCACCTTAGGGAATTACTGCAGGATGCTACCTTGCCAACATGGCTTAGCATCTGTCTTAGTTCATTTTCCCTTCATCTTTGCTTAAAACAAAACAGAAAACCACCTAAAAGGTGAGTCTTTATGAGTTATTTGAGACAGACCATGGCAGAAGATGAAGAGAACAGAATGACATATTTAAAAAGCCAAACCCAACAGAATATTTCCACTGTTACGATCCAGTGGAATGCAAGCTAGGAATAGGATAGAATTTGGAAATCCGGCTCTGTGTTGATGGGTTAAGGCATTCCGACTCCCCAGTCATTTTAAAGAACACTTCCTGTTCCTGTAGTTTCCTGGCAAACTCTTCTTCTAGTGTCTAAAACAAGAAGGGACAAAGAAATTGCTATGTGTTGGTATTACACTGCACACAGAATTGACTCTGGTAGCCAAGATAAAAGTACCCCCCGAAAGACTATTTATTACCCTAAGGAAACATGACTGCTCAGGAGTTAAGTTCATACCTCTTGCACAGCCCAGGTTTAAGGCTCAGCTCAGTCACATGAATAGATAATATGGCTCCATCACTGAAGACTAATTCCTCTGCCACCTAAAATAGCAGTTATACCACCTACCTCATTGATATGCTGGGTGAAGATTAAAGGTGATGATGATGTACTTAATGCATTGGAGGCAACCAATGGACAATACCTACAAACTATTACCTGTCTCTCCCCCATACCATTTACCACTTTCTATGTTAGGTACTGATGTGATATTTTTCTTGCACACTGGATTGTGTAAAGCTGTGTAAAGGTAAGGTCTAAACCAGATTCACATTTATATCCCCATAATACAGAGCAAAAACAGTGTTTGATAAATTTCTGAATTCAAGGAGATCTAATCCTGAATGTGATGGTATTACATTAGGAGGCTGGGCCTTTGGATATCATTAGGCCATGAGAATAGAGCTTTCTGGGAATTAGTGACTTTATAAGGGGCTGAAGAGAAAGCACTTCCATCTCCACTATGTGAGGACACACAGGTGAGAAGTCAGCAGTCTGTAACCCAGAAGAGGGCCCTTGCCAGAAACTGGCCATGCAAGCACCCTGATCTTGGAATTCCTGGCCTCAAATTTATGGTATTATTTTACGGTGGCCCAAACTGACTAAGACAGGGATCAAAGACTGTCGATGACTGATTGGGGTAAGTGCTACTGTTGAGGTCCAAATAAAGTATAGGAAAGGATGGAAAGACACAGGAAGGTTTGCTGGGAGAGGTACACTTTGAGCTTAGTCATGAAGTAACAGTAGGCAGGACAGGGAAGGCACGCCAGACACAGGAAGCTGAAACAATGACACAAAGGCAGGAAACCAGAGAGCACTGAATGGCAAGTCTACCCTGCTGGAGCATGGGCTGGGAACAAAGTGGCTGCTGGCAGAGGAAGCTCAGAGATGACTCGAGTACACACTATGAAGTCGAACTGAGCCATTTATATTGCCCTCTGATGGAACTGACAATTTACCAACACTGCGGGAAAGCATCAGAGACATTCTTGAGAATAAATGCTCTGGTGATGGCAGGAAAGCAGGAAGAAAAAAGAAAAGGGAACTAAGAGCAGAGGACCTGTGAGGACATTACTGAACAATTTCAGCAGACAGTAGCACAGCAATGGGAAAGAAAAGGAATAATACGAAGAGAATCACAACTAATTAGTATCTCACAGAATGTGGCCCTTACAGAAAAGAGATCACCAGGTTTCTAGCCTGGATGGCAGTTGAGAGAAAGGAATGCAGGGAAGAACATCTGATGATAGGGAGAGCTGCAGAGAGGGAATGAAGGAAAAGGATACCGATGACTTGATGTTTGCTGAGTTTACTTTCCTCAGTCAGCTTCGACGGGTATGTACTGATCCCTTACAATGTGCGGGGAACTGTTCTAACCTGTGTACGTATCAGTGCAGGCTTTTAAGGAGCTTACTTTCTCACAGAGGACAAGAGACAAATACACCTGGTGGTGATGAACATTACGAAGAAAAGCAAAGACAGAAGAGGTGATACAGAGTGTCTGAGGTGAGCACGGATGAAACAACACTTGCACAGAGGCTTAAACAGAATGAGGAGGGGCAGGGCCGGGGATTTAGCTCAGTGGTTTTGCCGCCTGCTGCACAAGCTCAAGGACCCAAGTTCGATCCCCGGTACCAAAAAAAACCAAAAAAAAACTGTCTCCTTTACAGAATGAGGAAGGGCAGAACACCCTGACGGGAAATGACAACGTCAGGTTCAACTCAGTATTAACAAAACCAATGAGCACCACTGAGCAATGGCACCATTCAGTGTCCCACGTACTGAGACAGTGCCACACATATGTCACTTCCTTTAGGCAGGGAGAATATGTTGTCAAAATTTTACAAATAAGGAAAACTGGGCCTAGAAATACTAAATTACCAAATGTATCACTAGTGTTAGCACTGACAGGTGAACCCGTATCTATATGATTTCAAGAGTTTATATCCTGTACAACCCTACTATTTCAGTTTTGGAATTGTTCTTAAATATGCAACTGACATACAAGATCAGGAAGGTAAAGGACAGAACTAAGGGTGTAAAACTTGGAGATGTCAGTATCTCCAGAGACTGGCAGACAAAGATAGGGGGATGAAGAACACAAAGAAGGAACAGAATTGTCATAAAAACCAAGTGAAAAGAGAATTTTTTAAAATGATACTTCTAATGAGACATGATTAGGGGACTTCACTATCAGTAACTCACTTGTAACTACTGTCAAAAGAGTTCGAATGAGGGCTCTGAGGTAGAAGCCAGGCTGCTAGGAGCTGACAAGTGAACCTGAAGAAAAGGACTTGTCACTGTTCTCCCCTTTGAAGCTTTATAATTCTGAACCATGGGAATATATTACCTATGCAAAAACCTTAAATAAAATGTCATGTCTGAAACCACACTGTCACTGAGTCTGTTTTCCACTTCCTCTAGAAACTTCTGGCCTACGGCAGGAGCTAAATACCTATTCCTTGATTGACTGGATAGACGAATGAAAGAAAGGAAGGCTGAAATGTGTAGCCCACGAGGAAATAAAGTTCAGGCCTGGGAATTTACAGAGGGTTAGGAATCACGGAGTGACAGCCAAACAGAGTTGAAATGGCCAGCCAAGGAGAGCAGGCCAGCAGGGAGCCAAGCATAAACAAGGGAAATGGGGGAAAGAGGAGGGAGGCAAGCCACTCCTGTCTTCCTGGACTGTAATTTCACCCAGCACACAACGGCCTCGGAATGCAGCACCAGGTGACCCATCCAGACCACGCCATCACCACTCCCTTCCTCCTCTCTCCCCAAGGCCCCACTCCTATCCACCGCACCCTCACCCCGTGCGCCATGCTCCAATGTCAGGGAACCACTGCACATCATTCTCACTCAATCTTTCCCTCTGCTTACAGCACTCCATTCCACTCCAATCTGCCCATCTGCCTCGAGAGCTCCTATTACCCCTTCACACCTTGCTTGGCTCACCGGAGGCCTCCTCTACAGCTCCCTCGACTTCTCCAGGCAGTCTGAAGCACTCCTCCTCCTCTACTTCTACCTTCTACTCCTTTCTCCTACAGCCTGCTCCTATTTCCTTCAGAATAATGGTCCCACCAATATGTAACTGCCCGTCACCAGATTCTGAACCCTTCTGGAACAGAATTTTGTCCTTTCACCTCTACTCCTGTCCCTGACGCTGCCCCTGACAAACAGTGGGCAAGGAGCCAAGACCTGGCTGATGGAGGAGCACAAGCACAACACTTCAAGGAAAGCTTTTCAAGTCACCTTTTTCCGAGGCCTCAGTTTCTCTCTCCATTCCTTTAATTCTTGGCTGTGTTCCTCATCTAACTCCTTGAGTTTCTGAGTCTCGTGCTCAACCAACAGGTGGCATTTTTCATTCTGAAAGTAAAGTTTAAATTTCAGATAAACTAAGTTTTTTACAAATACAATCATCTTCTAAAATAATAAATTATTTAAATATAAAGACATTACTTAAGTTCAAATTCTCCTCTAAAAAGTGAAGGTTAAGAATTATGAAATAAGTAGTTTCATTTTTGTAAAGTTAGAGCTAGATCCGTTAAAATATCATATGAAAAGAAAAACAGAATTAACTTGGGCCTTTACTTCTTCCTTCTACCATATGGTACCAGAACACAGAATTAGGTGCTATTCTATACCAGAAAATATGCACATGTCTAGGATATCCACACATTATCTATGCTACTCGGAAACTCTAAGCATTTCAGCTTGTGCACTGAACAGGCCACCCACTCCAGCTCAGGTCCAAAAACAGCCCTCTCTATATTTCTTAGAGATAAAAAAATTCCCATATATTTATCACTTTTTTTCAAAAACCTAAAAGAAAATCAACCATGTCCTTCAAAAAGGAAAAGAAATTTTAAATTCAGAATCTGACAAAACTGTCTGCATCATTTTGAAAACTTTCAATCTTGCAAAATATCATTTACTCAATACTGCTTTTGCTTTTTTGGGGGGATGCTTTTTGAAACAGGGTCTCAATATGTAGCCAGGCTGGTCTCCAATTCCCTGCGATCCTCCTGCCTCAGCCTCCCAAGGGCTGGGATTACAGGCATGCACCACCATGCCTGGCTTCAATACACTTTTGAATGACTCCATTTCTGAGGTTATAATTTAGCTTCATGTTTACATTAATCACAGTTATATAAAATATAAATAAAACTGATCTTCATTTTGGTTTTTACAGGAAATACAACCTTTAAATTCCAGCGTTCTCATAAGTAAGCTGCCCTTTCTTTGGACAGCTACTACTTTCTCCACCCCAGCCGCATGAGCTGCCTGCCTCCTACAAGCTTTCTGTCTCCCTTCTGCATCTAACCTGTAGTTGATGCAGTTCTCGGACATTGGCTTCACACTGCAGCTGAAGATCCCGCATCTGATTTTCATGTTTTTGATGCTGGGCCATTCTCTCATTTTTCTGCCTCTTTTCTTCTTGTGCAGCAAACTATAGACAAGAAAAACAAACATAAATTATGGTTAATAAACAAAGTATGAGTAAAGAATTTAACAAAATTTAAAATACAATAAGCTAAAGCTGAAAGTAGTACTATGCTATACTCATCATGACCTAGGGAGGGAAGGGAAAGCAGGAACATAGTACTTCTGATTAAAAATCTTAGTCCTCTAATTAATTGCTTAGTGACCTCAGTTAATCTGTGTGGTATCTGTGACTGTTGAAGTATCACAGTGAGAGCGTGTTTTGACTTAAAAAGCTATTCAAACTGGTGGTGCACACCTGTAATCTAAGCACTCTGGGAAGCTAAGGCAGGAGGATCACTGAATCCAGCCTGGACAACTTAGCAACTCAATGAGACCCTGTCTCAAAGTTTTACAAAAGTGGGTGGGGCTGGCAATGTAGCTCAGTATGAAGGCTCTGGGTTCAACCCCCAGTACCAAAAAAAAAAAACCCAAAACTGTCCAAGCCATGTTATTCCCAGAGCTCAAGATCTGTTTTGGGAGGAGGGTTCTGCCTTCTGTAGGCACGGGCTGGAGAAGACTACACTGGAATGTGCTGTGTGCACTGCCCCAGCCAACAAGAGCTACAGTGAACATCAATACCGAGGTGGCTCTGTTACAATCCGACTCTGTGGCACTTCAAAGTCATTCAGAATCTGAACACTTGGACGAGAGTAATTTGCCTATTTACCTGTTTAATTTTGTCACGGTCCTGATCTGGCGTGGCTGTTGAGTTGATCCTCAAACTTTTCTTAAACATGGCCATTCGAGTCTTGGCTTCACTGCGCTGAATCTTGGGCAGTCTCGCTCTTTCTTGGGTTTGTCGGTTTTTCAGTTCCTCAATGAGCCGTTGATTGTAACGCTGCATTTGTTCTGTTTCCTAGGAATGTGTAAAACACAACCCAGTTGTGCAGATGGAATTTAACACTCAGTGCCCACACATATGTTCAATGGTGTCATTTGTTGATTCCCACAGACACCTGCTCCCTTTTTGCAGTGACAAGCAAAATACTAGGCAAAAGCTAATTTTATGAAAAGAAATTAGTGATGGGTCTTATATTGAAATTCTTTCACTAAGTACAGAGAATCCACATTTTTAAGATACTTGAGCCATAACTGGAGCTAAAACAGCTACCTCTGAGATACAAGATAAAGATTATAATATTCAGTGGTAGGAAACCTATGGCATGTATGTCACAGCTGACTGTTTATTATTGAAAGCTCTAACAGATTTGCCATCACTAATGCAGGTTGTTAAGCACTGCAATTAATCACCTTCCTTGTAAGTTGTAGAAGTTTGCAGTCAGTCATGATCAAGATACAACTAATTAAATTTCATCAAAGAAATTTTAGTATAAAAGACAGGAAATTTTAAAAAATTCATTGTCAAGAAACATAAAAACTCTTTGTAAACTTTAAAATGAACAAAAAAATAAGAAAATTTTCCTTTAACCTTCTCATGGCGCTTAAGAAGCTGATGTCTTTGCATAAAATACTGATCTTTAAGTTGCTGTTTGAGCAGCTGGTGTTTTTCTTGCAAGTGTCTTTCTTCAAGCTCCCAAATGGCAGCTTCTCGAGCTGGAATGAAATAATTTTCAAAATGTCACTTGGCTCTTTTTATTAATGTACTTTGCTCTTCACTTTAATATTTATATAAGTGTTCCATATAATGTAGAAATATCTATTACCACTTTCCATTCTAGTTTATCATCTTATAAACTGGGAATATCCTACCATGAACCCCAAAATTCCATTTTGTACTGTAAAAAAAAAAACGAAGCTAATTTGTAGGGGGAATAAATACTTAAGTTCCATTCCATCATGTAGCTATTAAGCATACCAAATTTTAACTGCAGTTATTCAGACATATTTGTAGTACCAACTGGACAGGAACATGATTTAAGGTGGGTTTGTTTTGTTTTGTTTTGTTTTGAATAACGGTGCTGGGGATCAGCCCATGGCCCTGTGCGTGCTCAGCGCCCGACCTACCACTGAGCCACACTGCAACCTGCTTTAAATATAAGTTTATATTCACTTCCATTGTCACAAAGGAATTCTGCATCTTGCAGTTTCTTAATTTTCGGAATGTTTTTCTTATTTACATAACTTTCCTTATCTTCTCCTTTACCACTCTGGCAAAGGAAAGCATTCAAATAATTTCCAAGGTGTATCTCAGCAATGCTTTGGAGACATCGTCCTATGTGAACATGCTGTGGAATCTCATATACCTCTCATGAGCTGCTGTTTGTTATTCAGGCACTCCCTCTCAATGTTGGCCAACTCTGCCTTCTGTTGTTGGATGATCTTTTTAAGAGAGCCATCTAATTCTTGTTGTTGCTTCTGAACAAAATCTTGTTCCTATTAGATAACCACCAGTTAATAAATATCTGAGCTGTGCATCCATTTATATATATGACCATATATATTTGCACTTAATAAGATTGACTGACTGATTTTGTGATGCTGGGGATCAAGCTCAAGGCATCATGCACGCCAGGCAAGCACTCCACTACTGTGCTCAATCACCACTGGTTAATAAGATTTCTAAACCAAGTTAGGGCTGGGGATTTAGCTCAGTGGTTCTGGTGCCTGCCTCGCAAGTGCAAGTGCAAGGTTCGATTCCCGGTACCAAAAATAAAATAAAATAACCAAGTTTACAAAGTTCACAGGATTTTAAAATCACCAAAACTATATAGTACATATATAATATAAACATATTAGTCATCCAATTCGACTTGAGGAAAAACCTTTATAATACAAAATATTCTAAATTCACTATTAAGAATGATACACACAAAAATGTTTATAGCCCATTCATAATTAAAATGCCCTAGGACATTAGCAGTTTTGAGAAAACAATAAATTTACAACTTATAAAACTATTCATTCCACTATTGCATGACTAGTACAAGAATAAACAGGAAGTACCTTTTAGGAAGAAAAGCAATAATGAGCTCATAAGTAGAGAAGACCTCAGAATTTTACACTCTATTTTGCTAAGTTATAAAGAGTAAGGCAAAAATACCATGACTGCACTAACCAGAGGAAGATAAGACTAGCCTGTGCCTGAATGGAAGAACAATCATTTGAGGATTTAATTAGAAGTAATATATGGCTACACAAATGTAAACTAGAACTACTAGGAATGTTGTAAGTCTACAAACAGGAGTCCTATAATCATGAAATTCTACCAACATGTTTGGAATTTATTAATTCATTCAACAAATACTGAGTACATACAATTTGCCAAATTTATGCTTGCCAGTAAGCATAACTGCATTTATTTGGCATTAAGTAAATTTGGATCTCCCTCCCTTTCTTGGCAGTGATAACAGCTGATTAGCTCAAGAGATTTGCAGATCAATTTAATTGTGGATTTAAAATGTATTGAGATTGAAGCAGCACATCATCTATAATCCCTCCTCTCGTATATCCAAAAGAAGGTCAAAGCCCAAACCCATTTGGAACTACCTGGCCTTGGGCAGAGTTGGAGACAGTCTTGGTCACTATTAGCCTGGTCCTTGGGGGCACTCCAGGGTCTAGCAGGTTCTCAAAACCTCTGCCTGTGACAGTGTCTCTGGAGATAATCGTTTCAGACTGTCATGTTAAAGTAACAGAGTCTGGGCTGGGGATTTAGCTCAGTGGTACCTCACCGGCCTCAAGGTCCTGAGTTTGATCCCCAGTAGACCCCCCCGAAAAAAAGCAACATACAGTCATAAATGTTCCTGTTTTTTCTGCATCACCATTTGTATTTTAGCACAAGTATAAATATATAGTAGAAGAAAACAAAAAGACTAATGAATTGCCTCTATAAAATATACTTACTTGCTTGACTATAGATATCTAGCTTTATCACAGTCAAAAAATTTTAAAGAATATTTAAATTCAACTATTAGAACAGGCTTTTTAAATTTTATTAAACAGATACAAAATCTCCATGCCTATGTTTTAAGAACTTATAACAAATAATGTTGTTCAAGCTTCTTTTTCTGAATGTGTATCTGTGTGTTTATTTATTTACTTGAGACAGGGTTTCCTTGTATAGTTCAGGCTGGCCTAGAACTCACTATGTAGCCCAGGCTGGCCTCAAATTCACGGTGATCCTCCTGCCTCAGCCTCCTGAGTGCTGGGTTATGGGTGTGTACCACCATGCCCAACTTACAGTAAATATTTATAATAAAAATTAAATTTTTTCTCTAATTTCAATTATAAAATTTCTATATGCAAACTTGTTTAATAAACATAACCTACAGATACAGTAAAAAGTTTCTTTTGATCAACATTTTAATCATTGGTTTGCATAAAGAATTTTTTAAAAATATCTTCATGAATAAAAACAATGGATCTAACTTAACTAGTATATAACCTTACATTTAGATGCAAAGAAATTAAATGTGAAAGTACAGAATGAAGTCAATAAATGTGTGAAAATAAAAGGTAAATATAAATCATGCTACTAAAGTCAATGTAATTTCTTATCTACATAAATTTTGGTCAATTACCATAATATATCCATGTCTACATTACCCAAGGTAAGAGTTTAATTCAAAGAAAGCCTTCACTAAGCACTTAGTAAATGCTGGGCACTGTACTAGTTACAGGGTTAATAAAATTAATAAAAAGTTTTACCTTCAAGGAACTCCCAGTGTACTGACCCCCAGCACCAATGGTCTTGAACTGTCAGTCTCTTCCCTTAGCATCCCACTTCAATAGTTCAAACGCACACCACAGAAAACTCAAAGCTCAGAGAAAGGGCCCAGAAACCACACCTCACAATAATGAGCAAAAGGACTACAGAAGTGTGCCCCAAAGCAGCTAATATTTAGGGTGCAGAAGGCTCGAATGGCTGCACAGGAGCAAGTAGAAGTAGTGTTGTGCTGCTCTAGGAAATAAAATAAGGACCAACAGGTAAAAGTCAAGGTAGGCAGGTTTTGTTTTTTGGACTTTTTTGTTTTTTTGAGGCTGGGCCTCACTATATAGTTCACGCTGGCCTTAAACTCATGGTGATCCTCCCACTTTAGCCTCCTGAGTGCTGGGATTACAGGTGTGCATCAACCACACCTGGCACAAGGTAGGCAGTTACAAAGCCAATGTATGGAAGTGGTTCCTAACAATCGGAGTCTGCAAAGAACCCAGCTGCCTCACAGTTAAATAAGTAAGCGGAGTCTGAATAATAACATAGAGATAAATGAATTTTTTATATTAAAGCTAAAATTATCTGACAAATTATTTCCTTACACACTAATATATTTAATTACCTTAAAAGAAATGAAATTTTAGTATTATTGTGTACTCCTTAAATTTTCTAACTTCAAAACCCAAGTATAATACATTCATAATAGAATTTGTAACTAGAAATTACTTTTAAGAACTAAGAGAAATCTTACATTACAAAAAGATTGAGCCAGTTGTATTCACCTTAAAAAAAAGATGGGCTTAATCACTAGAAATTACATAACAGACAACAACAATCAAAAAACTAGTAAGGCCAAGTCATTTTTAAAAAGTCACATGAATTGTAAAAAGAGTGCCCTTTACAAGTACAAACTTAAATTCTGATAAGGAATTTTATTTTATTAATTAAATAACTATAACCATCAAAACTACAACTTTGGGTTCTAGAAAACTATGAAAAGGTTATGATACACTTGGCTATTTATACAGAATTTGATCATTTTAACTCAAAAGATTTACTCAAAAATGGTAATGATCAGAAAAGTGATTGTACTTCGTAATTTCTCCCTTCCATTTAAAAAAAATCCATGTTTTGCTAATTCATTTAGAAGACTGTAAAAAGAGTGAAACATCTGCCAATAATTTTTTTCAAATCTAATTTTGCCAGAGGGAGAAAAGGAGGAGTTGAAATCAAAGCTGTATTCTATCTACTCCAGTTATGTATCAAACATCACAAACAAAAATTATAAATGAGTTAGTCTCCCCTATGGCAACTGTGAGAAAGAATACAGCCTAGAATTCCAGACTTTAGTTAAAACTATATAGTAACAAGAATAGCAGCTCACTATTCATTATTGACAATTGAATAAATGGGATCTAGAGTTAAAATCACTATTTTATCATGGCTTTTCTGACCACATCCATCATTAAAACATCTACATAAACATAAGCAATCAAAACATCACACAAAGATAAAAATCTAATCACAGCATTCAATTTCTCACATGTGCAAAACTTATAAAATATCATTGGGAAGATATTTTACTTCTCTTTAAAAAGATTAAAGTCTCAAATTAAAATTTGTGATGGGGTAGGTTTAAGAAGAACACTATTTTGAGTGTTCTAGCTCCAGCCCTACCACTAACCCCTTAAAAGGCTTTTGACAGATCACTGAGTCCTCTGTGTCTTGGTTTCTCATCAGTGAAATGGATGTACTCCATCCCCGCATTAGGGGGCTGGCAAAGAAAACCAGATACAAAAGCTTTTGAAGGACGCTGTACCATAAAGTTCGTGCCAGGGTACTAATAGTACCGTCATTACTGACACAATCATCTATTAATTCTCTAGACTTTAGCGAATGAAGGCAACAATGAAAAGGCACATGTGAGTCACAGAAAGAGCAGGTAGGACAGGAGAAGGCATCCTCCCACAGGCACTTGGGACTTACGTCCTGCATTTGGGCGTTGAAGACTGCACAGGATGACAACTGAAAAGACTGAATCATGACCTGAGCAACACCCTGTGGATCAGAATACAGTGCACCTCCCAGGTGAGAATATATCTGAATGACTTTCTGTAAATGTCAAGAATAATTACACAGATGTTTTGTTTCTTGAACCCTAGGTCAAGTCAATTCAATTACTAGAGGGGCCTCTTTCTGATCTGCAGAATGAAAGATTTGAACTCCATCAGTGGTTTCTAAACTCTAGCGTGTTACTGAGTTTAGAACACTCAATAGCAAAACTCCTTTTTAAAAACTCACCAAAAAACTCTGTTTAAAAAACAAAAAAGGGCCAGGGATTTAGCTCAGTGGCACCGCACCAGCCTTGCAAGGGCAAGGTCCTGAATTAGATCTCTGGTACCAAAAAGAAAAAATAAATAAATAAACAAAAAAGTAGTGCTGCTTTAGTTAAAGAAGAACCAGGAGCTCACAGACCCACAGTCCTGGCCCGCTAAACAGCTGCTGGAAGAACAATCTGAAAACCACTGTACTAAGTGTCAAACACATTCTAGCTCTACAACTATACAGCTACTATTAATGAATTCTCCAAAAAAACAGTTTAGACTGTAAAGTTATCAAGTTTTGGTGACTTCATCAAAGGGGTAAACAAATACTTTTGAAATCTGTTAGATTCTAAACTTTCCACTAAATGTTTGTTTTAGTTGGAAAAATGTAGGCCAGCCCCCAAAATTATTTGAAAAATCCTCAGCAAAGACATATCAAAGCACTGAGTCACCGAATTCATCCAACACTAAATTCTCAATCTCAACGCTCAAGTCTGATGTATTACCTTTAGAATTAAAGAAGCCTATACTCCTCTATAAGGCAAGACTATATTGTCATTTATTATCCGGTCTGAAAGCCAAGTTAACCGGGAGTAGAAGTATGGCAAGCAAGGATTTCCTCTGAACTTCTGTCGAGAAGAAATGGCCAACAACCACCAGACGGAGTGCATGAGCATTCAGGCGAGGCGCAGAGTGGGTGGCCTAAACCTGAGAGGCAGTATGTGTGGTGTGTGACGGAATGTGGGGCTAACTTGTCCAGATCAGAGCCCTGGCTCTACCATAAGCAAGCAAGTGACCCTGAGAGTCGCTCGTCCTGCCTGAGCCTGGCTCTCTCACTCTGAAATGGAGCCACATGCTAGCAGTGCGAGCACGTAAAGCTTCAGCACAGCGCTTGGCAGAAAGTAAATGCTGTCGCCTTCAACCAGCAATCCCCACAGCAGGCCTTGCCAAGATGTTTCTCTGGCTCATAGCAAGCCAAAAAAAAAAAAAAAAAGGTAATTTTATTCAAATAAGCTAGCTTTATAAATTTTAAATTCTAAGATTATAATTTCCCTATTTTTCATAGAATATTCTCTCCTCCAAAATCACTGTGACAAATAAATGGCAGTTTAAAAATAACTTACTTCACAAAAGAAGTTATGGCAATCTACGTCCTGATCCCTAGTGGTTTTTGTTCTTTCTACATTTTCTCTACAGGTCTATAAAGTCCAAAAGTTTGGATCCACTTTTAAAAATTACATTAAAAGAACAATTCAAAGCAATAATTAATATATATTTCATGTCTCTCCTTCCTTTTCTTGACATTTTTAACTAAAAATTGAACTCATTTCTCTATCTTTGCCTCCAGGATGAATACAAACTTGATGAAAGGATTCACCTTTTTAAGCATAAAAGACCTGTGGAAAAAGTCATGTGGAAATTCTGTCAAAAATACTAATTTACTTTTTTAAAGAAGACACCCCATCTTATGACAAAACCTTACCATAACCTAAAATCAAGTTTAACTCCATGTAAGTAAAAACAGTCTATTCACTTAACTGCTGGATTCTGAATCAAAAAGAAAAATAACATACTTAATATTTAAAATCTAATTTTATTGGTTTTTGAGAAAGGGTCCTGATATGTAGTCCAGGCTAGACTTGAACTCATGGTGATCCTCCTGCCTCAGCCTCTTGAGTGCTGAGATCACAGGCATATGCCATCATGCCCAACCAAAATATGATTTTAAAGTTGCTTATGTTGTCAAGCTTGAAAGTAATGTTTAATGCACCATTTAACATTTTTCTTCTAGTTTCGAACTTTATAGAGAAGTAAGTCTTCTAACAGGCATTCTTTTCCTAAGCACAATTTTTATATACTCACCCCCTACTTTCTATCCTAAAATTTTTCTATTAAACACTAGCATTACTACTTAAAAAAACAACTTCCATCATGATTAAAATTAGACAGCAGTGGGTTTTACATTAACATTTGTTTCTTTCATCTGGAGTCAACTTCCTAAACAATCCACTCACTTTCATATTAGCAACAACATCACCGATAGTGTGAATTTAGCACTAAAAGAAAGACCCTGGGACTCTCTGAATGGGGGAAAAGTCATCACAGAATAACTACAGTTAAAAGTCGACCCTTTCAGCCAGGTCTACTGAGCTGTGAGACAGTGTTGTTCTGTGTTTAGTAGCGTGAGCTGCTGCTGTTACCTGAACGCGCTGGCTTTGTGCAAGCTCCTCTCTCCTGCGTTTCATGAGCTCTTTTCTCAGATCTTTGGGTGCTTTCTCCACTTCATTTAAAACCTACAGTGTATAAGCATGCAGGAAGGGGATAATGCTTTCTCCACAGCAAGCATTTATGTGAGCAGACAAGCTACCAGTCAAGTATTAACGCTGTTTCATAAAAGTTCCTTTCAACATGCATTAGCGTGTTAGTTTGGTGAAAAAGAATAAAAGGATAGAGCATGCTTAATTTCAGAGCAGAAAGGGACACCACGCACATAAAGGTTAATTAGCTGCTTAGTTAACTCTATGTATTTTCTCTTAAAGTGACAAAGGCAATCATTGAAGGGTTACTTGCAGCACTAATGGTGAACTAAAGGTGATAAACTCAACTGACCTTGAAAGACCATAAAATTATATTCACATTGTTTAAAACAGGGAACATAAGAAAAACTAATGCCACTTATAAAAGTGCCAACTTTTATAACTGGCTTGATAATACCAAAGAAATAATTCTACATGAAATCCATTTAATGAGACAGGAAAAAAGGAAAAAAGAAAAACAGAAAGGAAGCCTTAGAATTTGCAAAGGAGAAACAAATGGGTACTAAATTTTTTCCATAAAACACACCTTTTTATACAGTGTGATAAAAATGAATGTGTCTGATGATTTTTTGTAGATGAAAATAACATTCTCCTTTGCTGACAATTTAAGCCATGCTTGTCAGCTTTCAAGTCAGCAGTATAAACACTTTAAAATTGAATAAACTCTGATTTATTATGCCAGACATACTATAAAGTTCCTTCTCTTAATCATTTCAAAATCCTAGATATGAAATCCATCTACAATAGATCTATAATCCAACTATGAAAAACAATCATCTGTTTACAAGTAGAAGCACCAAAAGAAACCAGATTCCAAATCACCACATGCCATCGATGGTCAGAAAGACTGATTCCAATTTCATATAGTGTATTTAAAATTTCCCATCAGTAATCTCTCATGAAACCAAATCACCAATAAAAGAAAGAGACTCCCCAAATGCAAGAAGTTTAGCAATAAAGAAAAAATACATAATTACTTGAAATATGCATAACATGATATCAAACATGTTCACTAGGTAAAACTCTCCTATCCAAAACAGTAACAATGACAAGAAACCTATTTATTTAGAATTAAGTCATATATTAAAATGTAAAAAATTTTTAATTTAATCTGATACAAAGAATAATCCCTGAATAAAAACTACCCATGATTTTAAGAAAATTAACAAATATTCCCATAATGGTATACAGTGATTCTATATAAAACATAATAAATGGTAAAAAGTTCATTTTTAGAAACAGACATATAAAATAAAATTACATACCAACGTTGTGTTTACTAACATTCAAATCTATCCTATACCACACCCTTAAGATTTAGCAGAGTGAGGGAGGTTGTACATGAGTAAAGGACAGGAGGTGTAAGGAATTTTATATACTTTCCACTTTTTTCTTCAGAATTTAAATGTTAAAAATCAATGAATCTGGGTATTTGACATGGGTAACGAAAGTGAAAATGCATCACTAATTTGGTTGAGATTTTTTGTTCCAATCCTAACTGAGTTATTTACAATTATTTCCCTGGGATCTTTTGTAACATTAAAAGGTAATCCTCCTTCTATGCTGAAGACATGGAATAAATCATAAAGTTATTTCTGAAAATTTCTTAGATGTGAAGTTAATTTTAATTTGGGGATAAAAAGACAATAATAAATGGAAATTATTGTACTCCTTACAAATCAATGATAATCTTTTACAGAAAATATTACTGCAAATAAATTCTACAACAGTTTGGAACTTTAGGAAAAATAAGAAACATTCTAATTAACTGATTTATAGAAATTTTCCACTTTTAATTCTTCAAAGTATCTCTCAATTTATTAAGCTTATAGATATTATTTCAAATTTCAAATTACTCAATAGTTTTTGGTTGGCACAATGTCCAAGAAAATCAATAAAGCTAATCAAAAAAAGTGCTAAAAATATGAATTAAAGATGACAAATATAAAAATAAATTACTTGGTATCACTGACAAACACCAATGAAGTAAGGTTTCCTGAAAAATACTGTCATACAAGGCCTTAAATATTACATTAATAAAAGAGGAATGGCAGACTGAAATATAGATTAGACTTAATTTGAAGACTGGCTTGGGGTTTAGTTAGACGGGATATTCTGGACTGGTAGTTTATAAATGTGATTAGGCCACTACAACCTCTTTTCCTCCAGTTTTTTTGGCAGCAAAATGGGGATAACATCTGATCTTACTACTACCGTCCTGTATCAGTGTTGGGAAGACAGAACAAAGGAGTGATGGGTGCTCTTTAACTACCAGGTATTGTGCCGACTTCCTTAGGCAGTCTTAAATTTACATTTAAAAACCTGTTCTAATAAATAATTAAAAACGGTAAATATACCTCCTTCTTTCGATTCTTTAGTATATTCTGAAATTTGGACAGCTCTTTTTCTTGTTCTCCTTTAATGCGTTTGGCTTCGTCTCGCAAGCGATTTGTGTGTTCTTGTTCTAGTCGTTCAATAGTCTGTTTCTGCTGCTTTTCTAGATTCTCAATTTCCTGGTCATACTGTCGCTTTTTACTCTGTAAAACATTGTAGCTTAAAATGATTTAACTTTTCTAACACACATACTAACTCATTATAGTGAAGATGTTTACTAAGAGCACATAACTATATTTAAATTTAATGATATGATATAACCTTTGCAGTACTGAACAAATCAAATACACTAAAGTGTTAGAAAATTTTCAGAAAGTAGGATTTTACCTAACATGGAAAGTATTTTTATTTCCATTACACAAGTAGTAGAATGTTAAAAAATTTTAGAAAATCCAGAAGAATATCCAGTTGCTATGGATTATTTAAGTTAGAAAAATGACAATATTCAGTGAAATTTTTTGATAAATTGAAGGGCTTATCTGAATTATTACTATTATTATTATTTTTGTACTTTGGAGGCAGGGTCTCCCTTTGTAGCTCAGGCTGGCCCTGAACTTACTATGGAGCCCAGGCTGGCCTCGAACCCGTGGCAGTCCTCCTGCCTCAGCCTCCCGAGTGCTGGGATTACAGGCATGCGCCACCACGCCCGGCTCTAACTTCATCTTAATAATGTAATGTTATTCATCATTTGGGGATTGACTCTTCATTAAGAGTCTTAAAATAACACCCTATGCTACTGAAACAAAAATTTTGCAATTATAAATCAATTGTTTCAATAAAGACTAGTACTTATACTGTATAGGATTTGAGTAATCATGCGAGTTTGGATAGAGGTACAGTTGAATATTTGTAAAACAATTTTTTTAAAGAAACTGAAAAGCAAAACACTTAGGAAAATATTTGGCGGAAAGAGAGAAAGCATTCTCATATAGCCCTGGAAAAGAAAATACAAATGCTATAAAAATACACAATGCAAACAGAATTTCATTATTTTCTTAGGCATCTGCAGTTATCCAATACATAAAATCAACAATGGCACATTTCATGCAAAACAATCCTCACCATCTAAAATTACAAGACCACAGAAGGACTATATGTACATTTAAATATTATTTCAAATATTTCTTTCCTAACCTACATTAAGCTAGATGATCAATATAAGTTAATAAAATTTTGTATCACATTACTAGTTCCTTTTTAAATTGTGGACACAAGAAAAAACCGAAGGACTCAACAACAATTTGCCTTAGCTAGTCAGCACTGTTTTCTATAGCAGCAATGAACAGGACATGGAGGCTTCCCTATAGGAGCCAGAGAAGAGAGGGTGCTGTGAACAAGCCCCTAAGAAGTTCCAATTCTTAGCCAGGCTTGAAGACAACTGCTTTAGCTTTGGATTAGTTTAGATTCCGGATTTTTTTAGATTCTAAACTGAAATGAAGCACTAATAGGTACATCTAAGAACTCTGTAAACTTTGGCTTCATGTTTCCAAGTTTTCATGACAGACTTCAAACAGGAAAAAATACAGACCCTGTCATACCATAAATCAGTGATAACAAAACTGAAATTGGAAGATTCTTCCAAGAAAAAAGGATTAAAAAGAAAAAGGCATTCAGAACAGCACAGAGATACAGACTAGAAACACATGACAAAACCAGGAAAATCTAATGATTCAGAACAAATTCTAAAAACCACTAGTGGTTTATTTTTAAAGTGCTAAATATCATTATTAACAAAATGGTACAAAAATCTAAGATGTTACCATCATTTCTTGCTCAAAGCGCCGGAAAATTTGTTCTCGTTGTTGCTGTAGTTTGCCATTGAGTTGCTGTTGGGCTCTCTGCTCTTCTTTTTGAAGAAATCTTAATTCTCGAAGTTCCTGACGTCTGATAAAAGTAATAACAAAGAGGAAGACTGCAAAAATTACACCTTCAAATCAATACCTTTTTTTACAAAGCTTTAAATTGTTTTTTAAACAGAGAGTAAGTGCTGGGCGTGGTGGTGTACATCTGTAAGCCCAGTACTCAGGAGGCTGAGGCAGGAGGACTGTCAGCCTGGGCTACACAGTGAGTTCAAGGCCAGCCTGAACTACATACCCTGTCTCAAAAATAAATAATAATAATAAATTTAGAAAAAGAATAATCCAAAATTAGCCAAGAATTTACCCTCATTTCTCTATTCTTCAGATTTTGGGAAAACAAGTCACAAACCAGTTTTTAAAACATTATGTTGTTTCTCTACTCACCTGAGAAACCGCAACTCTTCAGTTTTAGAATCACTATCAGAAACTATCTTTGACGTTGTGACACTCACTTCTACACCATCAACAATAAATTTGCGTGTTTTCTTCAATGTTTTTTTCTGTCTTCTTGTTTCCTAAGTGAGATTTTATTTTATTAGTTAAGCTTTGAATACAGAATACTGGATGTAGAAAACATAATCTTTAAAAATAAAGTAGCGAAACAGCCATAAAGCCTATAAAGTATGAATATAAAGTAATACGACTCTTCTGGGAAACCAGTTATATTACCTTAAACCTCATCTGACTTAAGACTTGACTTTACAGAAGAAATCAAATCTTTTAAAAAGTGACAGGCATTTTGATGATGTGTACATAAAACTTTTATGACACTATATAATTAGGCACACGCAGTGACTTTTCCATGTCAACTACTTTGTCATCTTTTCACTTTTATGAGTTCTGAGTTACCTCTACTTTTTCATTGACAAAACACTTAAAAATGGACTCCTTGAGCCAGGCATGGTTGTGCATATGTGAAATCCCAGCACCAGAGAGGCTGAGGCAGGTGGATCACCGCAAGTTCAAGGCCAGCCTGGGCTACATAGTGAGACCCCTCCCTCTAAAAAAAGAATTCCTGGGACTCATCCCTTAAAAAACTAAAGCAATGGGTCTGAGTGTGGCTGGGTATGTTTTTTTTTTTTTTGGTACCGAGAATCTAACTCGGGTCTTTGCGCTTGCACAGCAGGCCGCAAAACCACTGAGCTAAATGCCTGGCCCAAGGGTATGTTTTTTTGAAAAGGTTCTCAGAATCAAAATCTATTTAATCAGTAGCATTAATATCAAAAGTACTTCTCCACCTAGGACCAGAACTGGATGTGTTCTACCAGAGGGACTAGGACAGTGTACCAGATCTACCTTCTAGATGTTGCCTAGAATTCCTTATCAAGACCAAACTGTTTCTCAACAGGTACCCAAAAGTTTAAAACTGCAAACAGAAGTATAACGTCCCTACAGATACATCTTGGTAAAGAGATTAAGTATAGATGGCAGATAACTACTTGGTTTTGATATGAGGAAAAAGTTTAGAAAGCAAAGATAGCAAAAATGGAAGGTGAGAACACAAAAATTTAAGAAGCGCAAGAGTTTTAAATACCTGCCTCTGGACCTTCTCAGCATCCTCTGCAGCCGCCTGCTCCTCTCCCTGAATCCTGGATGACAGTCACTGCCCCAAACTTCCTCTAAATCTACCATTGGTATGCCCCAAAAAGCAGATCTGCCTCCCTTACCCTCCAAATTCCACATTCCTTCAGCTCCTAATAAGATGTAATTAACGGTGCCTTAATTCTCACAAAAGTATTTGCCTTTTTAAAAGAGGCTATTATGTAATTGATTTAGGAATGGTGGAATTCCAGTCAGTGAAACAAATAAACTGGAAAAAAGAAGAAAATCCAGGCAAGACATGGAATCCTCTGAGGTAGCTAGGCAAGGTGAGCAGTCATGCCCTGGAGTCCTGTCCCTAAGTCAGTTTTCTTGAGTTGCTTCTGAATCTTCTCCTCTGTAACTTATCAACCCAGAGTCTCTAAGAAGTATTTTCCAGAGGGAGTCCATTCTCCTGTAATGGAATTCCACCAGCCTTTCTGTTAAGATATGAATTCCTGGAACTAACCAGAGGCTTTTTCAGAGCTCCCCTGGTAACACCTAAGCACACTAGGATTTTGAGAATTACACTCTAACAGCTCCTAGTGTTCCGGGGTTGGGTTTTGGTTGTGTGTTTTCCCTACCATGGGCTTCATGGGAGCAGCAGGGCTGTAAGGAAGCAAGAATGGTTCACCTGCAGCAGCCGGTGGTGAGTCAAGGATTGTCTACATCCTAAATATGCTTAAAAAAGAGACCATTTTTGGCTGGGCGTGGTGCCCCACGACTATAATCCCAGAACTCAGGAGGCTGAGGCATGAGGATCATTGAAAGTTTAAGGTCAGCCTGGGGTACATAGTTCAAGGCCGGCCTGAAATACATAGTGAGACCCTGTCTCAAGAGGAAAAACAACAAAAACAAAAAACGGACATAATCCCTTCAATTTTTCAGTTCTTTCATACCTTAGTGAACCTTGCTAAACGAGCACCTCGATATGCAAACTAAACAACTACAATGCACCACTGGTATCAGGTTCACAAAACTAAGTAGGTTCTACCCAAAATTTTAAAGATTACATCCAGAATCTCTCTTTGGTTCTTTTTGGTACCGGAGATCGAACTCAGGGCCTTGTGCTTGCAAGGCAGGTGCCAGAACCACTGAGCTAAATCCCCAGCCCACTCTTTGGTTCTTTTTAACTGATTTCTTAGTATCTCAAAAGAATCCACAGGATTCCTATTATACTGATTTAAAAGTGTCTTATTTTTAAGAAATCACTAAAATCTAACCTGGCAAAATGACAAAGAAAAGCCCAAACAAGGACCCACATCCACGTACCTGTAAAGATATTGACCCAGTGTCTTTAGTTTTACTTAGGAAGCTAGAAATGGATAAATTCAAGTCAATGCTACTATTATCAGCAGTGGAACCGGTGCCTGAATCAGTGTCATTTTCCTTTTGATTCTCAGATTCTGGTAGCAGTATGGTTTCAGTTTTTGATAAAGCACCTATTTCTCCTTTATTTTCTGTATCTTCAGAGTTGATATTAATACTGGGAACTGGAACAGGCTGAGGTTCACCGGGCTGTGAAGCTGCAGGAACCTGAGGTTCTGTTTTAGCTGGCACTTCATATGCGATTTCTTTTTGCTCTGTGTCTAGCTGAGTAATAGCTTTATGAGCATCCTGAGTTTCACTTCCGATAGTCTCTTCATCAGTATCAATCACTGTACTTCTCACCTCTATTTCTTCAGTGCTACTTGACTCAGTAACTTCTTCAACTTCATTTGTCCCTGTCTCCTCACTGTTGTCTAATATGTTCTCTGAATTGTTGATTAATTGTTTCTCGTATTTATTTTCCACAAATTTTTTATCTATGTCATTAGTCGCTACGATTTCTGTAACAGAAGGAACTTCTCCAGTACCATCAGCCTCGGGACTGTGTGTGACCTCATTTATTAATTTCTGGGCTACTTCAAGTGCATCTTTCCCATCATTACTCTGAACATCCAAGGTGCTGTTTTCAACTGCCTTCTGAGCAACACCCACATCTTCATTTCTCTCTACGACATTGCTTGTATCACTGATCACATCGTTTTGAGTTTTATCATCTTTTCCCAATTTCTCTTGTGTGTCTTCCTTTGTATGCAGAACTCCACTGTCAATTATGCGAATATCTGCCTCTTTTTCTCCAGTCTCTTCAGATACTAAATCACCTGTTTGAATAGTGGTGTCTTTGCTATTTTCAGATCTTACAGGTTTATTTTCAAGTAGCTGTTGCTTTTCCTGATCCCTTTCTTCCTCAGGTTTCAAATTACGTTTAATATTTGTTTCTACAGCGTCTGTATTATTTCCTTTTCCTTCACTGGCTAAATCAATGTCCACCATTTCTTGGTCTTCCATGTCAGACAGATCATCCAGCTTGGGTCTCTTCTCCGTTCTTCCATCCTCCTGGGGAACTGTTGTTGGATTAGGGAGTTCAGCTGCAACTTCTGAGCGTGCATCATTCCCATGTTCCTCAACACCCTCCACAGTTTTTTCATCAGTGCAAGATTTTTCATTAAGAACTTTGCTGCTGAATTTATCTCCAGAAGCATTGTGTTCTGTTTTTTCTGAGACAGATTCCAAAATACAAGCATTCTGTGAAAGTTTATCTTCCTCAGAGCTGGCAATACTTAGGTCAGAGGAGGCACGCTTATTTGTAGGTATCGGCTAAAAAAGATTTTATATATTTTTAGTGTTAAAACATGACCTCAAGATAATGATCAAAACAATGTTTATATATATAACAATGATCTGATATCTGTATTCAGGAAAAGTTGAAATTTTAAAAATAATGATAATTATTCAACAATAAATGTTAAATAATAGTTTTAACCAAACATGATGAAAATTGGTAGCGAGGAGCAACCTTGTTATTCACCTCTAAAATTTAGGTTTTCGGGCCGGGGATTTAGCTCAGTGATTCTGCCGCCTGCCTTACAACCACAAGGACCCAAGTTCGATCCCCGATACCAAAAAAAAAAAAAAAAAACTTACTAAATGAAATTTCCTTTCAAAATACTGACCAGAGAATTTTCTATTTCCTCATCATCATCTTCCTCTTTGCCATCTTCAACTTCTTCTGTTACTTCAGCCTTTGCCTCTGCAATCAGTTCTCGGACTGGTTTGTTGGAATCAATAGTCACAAAGGGATGCTGTTGATCATTAAAAAGAGAACGCTCAGTAACAACTGAGACACCTTGTAAAGTCAGTGTCCAAAACATATAAAACACATCCTTACATGGTAAAAATACAACCTATATGTAGGAAAAACACAAATAACTTCAGAAGATGTTATATCTGGAAAGGAAAGGAGAGGAAAGGGATTGAACAAAACTCATAGTTGCCCCACAACTGGATCCGTGCTTTTTTCCCTAGGAATCCAAAGAAAAAAATTTTCAAAAATAATGACTTGTACAAATATTTTTCTGTATATTTAAAAATTTCATAATAAAAAATTAAAATTTAAAGTCAGTATATTATTGGTTCTTAAGAAGTAATTAACTACATAAATCATATCAAAACCTCAACTTTTAAAAAAAAATCACAAAAAGCTTTAGAATTCTGTTAAAGTATCTACAAATACATGTTTTGTTTTGTTTTTGAGATGGCTCTAATATTCTTGAAGGAAGAAGACATTTTAATCATCTCTGTACATCAATATGTAACGGGGTCTGCCACAGACCAGGGCCCTCAAACGTAGGAATAGTGAAACAGGGCGAGAAGGTACACCCTAGGGATACACCTGTACACACCAAGGCAATTTCTTCCTGCTTTCCCTGTACCCCGCAGATAAATAGATCAGTATAAAACACTACAATGCAGCAGTTACATAATAACTCATCCTAATGCAGTGATTGTCCCCAAATTTGTTACCCTATTTGTCTGCCCATAAACATTACTTATTCGACAAACTTTTGTTTCAAGTATCACAAACAGGTCCAGCTATTAACCAAAATTAAATTTATCCAATCACCTTGATATCACAACCCTTATTCTCACTAAAGAGACATGTAAAAAATTAATAAGCTAATGGTCCTTGCTCACAAGGTGCTTGCTTTCTAGTAATTAGACATAATGAAAGTGAAAGGAACATAATTAAACTAAATAAACTAAAGCATAAGAGAAATGACTTATAAACTCAATGCCTATTTATAAGGGCAGCATACGTCTGTAAAGCAAATGCAACTATTCTATCATAATTTTGGCTTTCTGTAGAGAAACTCAAATGCAAAGAGAACACAATGAATGAATCTGCATACTCTTTTTAAAAAGAGACGTTAAAACAATATGACTTGCTGTTGTCATATTATCCCTATTTTACCTGCAGTAGTTGAGATGTAGTCCACCTGGCATCCACATTCTTTTCTAAGCATTTCTTTAGAAAGTCCTTAAAATTTGAAGACCTTCAAAATAAAATTTTAACAATGATATTCAAATAAAATTCCTTGATAACTCATGCTTAAGTTTCATTAAGAATGGCATCAACAATAGAAAACAAGCTAATAGAATAAAATTTTATAGAACTTATTCTTCTGATTATATATGGTAGAAATAAATCTAAATAGAAACACAGACACTGAGACATCGTCATATATTCAAATATGCCAAAAATTCTACTATACTAAATTCCACAACCACATATGTGACTCACTTTCTCACAGTACAGAAAATATCTTTTTCATGTAGAACTCAACTCATTCAAATTTTCAAATACATGGAAAAGTTAGTTATAATTGTTTTTATAGTCCTTAAGTCTTGAAAAATATCCAAAATTAATTTTGTAATTCACGTGGTCTTTGTACCACATGCCCAAAATTAAATACCCTTGGAAAATTAGAAGATTGAAACAGCAAGTTTTACTTCTTAAAAGGGTTAGTTTAGAATAGTTTACCATCGTGATGGCTGCGCTAATGTAGGGGGCTCGGATTTTGCTATTTTTAGCAGCACTCGCATCGGATTTAACTCATGATGAGGTGGTTCTATCTCAGCCATTTCTATTAAGGTGATGCCCAGGGACCAAACATCAGCTTTGTAGTCATATGGTCTGTCCTTTGATGTTTCACACATGACCACTTCAGGAGCCATCCTAGGAAGAGAGAGAATTCAAAGTTAAGATGTTTAATTTAAGCACAGTTGTTGAAAACCACACAGACAGTATAATAAATTATGAAGACAGCTGGGCATGGTGGCGCAAATGGTGGCACTGTAATCCCAGCCCTCAGGAGGCTGAGGCAGGAGGATTTCTGTTTGAGGGCAGCCTGGACTACACAGTGCATTCAAGGCCAGCTTGAACTGCATGGTGAGACCCTATCTCAATAAAACAAACAAACAAAAATTATGTAGGCAAAAGTGATCAGGAATAATAAGTGCTAGCCATGCATAGTGGTGAACACCTATAATTCAAACAGTCTGGGAAGCTGAGGCAGAGGATCCCAAGTTCAAGCCCAGCCTGGGCAACTCAGCAAGACCTGCCTCCAAATAAAAAAATAAAGGGCCATGGTTGTAGTTCAGTGAGGAGGTTCTGGATTCTATATTTAATCCCCAGTACTGGGGGAAAAACTGCTGACATGACTAATATTATAAATTCATAAAAACTGATACCTACCAATATGGTGTGCCAATAAAGGAATCCCTTCTTTGAATTGTCCTCGTGTTTTTAGCTGATACTCCAAAATCGGCTTGAAATAAATAATTATACAATAGCATTAAAAGTAGCCTTTAAATATAGTTAATTACATTCAACAGGAAAGTGGAGAGGAGTACTTCAAATCTTCAATAAGTAAGCAAAATAAAGAAATAAATTTGCTACACTCTAATCTTGACTACCATCTTTATACCACCTTCCAAAAAACACTACTGAAGAAGCGTGGTGTTAATAAATTTAATGCCACCATCTTTAGATATCTTTAAATGATACATTCTTCAGAATTGAAAATAGTAATTTTAAAATAGTTTATCCACTTCAAAAACAACCTGACAATTAGTGCTACACTGCAATTAAATCCCTAGACAGTTTTTTCTATAGTGTGAAAAACAGAACTTACACTAAAGCAATCTTTATGACATCAGTCTTACCAACCTCCTCAAAGAAAAGAATATTGGGAACTTTACATTTCTCATTTAAATTATAAAGAACAGCAACATTACAGGTTTATCACTTTAGAGCTCAGATAACTATTTTTACTGCTAAATAAAGGAAAAAGCATTTTCCTATCTTTTCTATATGAACTATATCCCTAGATAACTAGTTAATTTATAATAAATGAAAATATCAAATTTTACAAAATAATAAATGAAAACAACATAGAATTCATTTTACAGCCCAAATCAAAGAAGAAACCTAGATATTAACCATCAACAACTAACATAAAGAAAGAGTAAAAAGTTGACATTGTGTGGCTCTTGATGAAAGAATGCCAAAACCACTTCTTCTTGCCAAAGGATCAGACTTGAGACTCATCAAGCCTTTGAATCATCCACTAATTCGAAGGAAATAAAGAGGAACTTACTGAAATGATCACAAGAATGCAAATTCCAGGTAGAGGAAAATGCTACAGGTCAAACAGCCTAGGATCAGTGATGGCGAACCTATGGCATGTGTGTTGTTTTTTGTATTTTTTTTTTTTTTAGACAAAAGATGTTTATGTATGAGTTGTTTTGTTTTTATTTTTGAGGGGTTTTTTTTGGAGACAAGGTCTCGCTGTGTATTTCAGGCTGGCCTTGAACTACGTAGCCCATGCAATACTTCTGCCTTAACCGCCCAAGTGCTAGGATTACAGACATGTGCCATCATACCCCGCTGAGTTCTTTTCTAAACTAAAACCTCAATATTCAGGTTTAATTGCAGTGTTGGGACTTCGTGAAAAATGGGTTTTGGGTTGCAGTCTGGGCACTCATCTCTAAAAGGTTCGCCATCATTAGCCTAGGTGCATGGATCAATTTTTCCACCATTCTTTCATCAATACTCTCCTTAAGAAGTACTGCAGACAATTTTTTCTAATCCCACCTGCACCCATGAAATTTTAATATTACACATACACTGTATATGTACCATGGGCCTTTGAGGTACGGTCACAAACCACTGTAATATTTTTACCCCCAAACAATCAACTACTGCTCCCTTGGGAATGACAGTGCCTCCAGAAGAATGTAGATCATATAAGAAAGGAACTGGGATGGAACCTGTAAATTACGGAAGACTTGAGAGAAATATCAAAATTTATATGTGGGCAAGTTTAAACTTTAAAAATCTAAACACAGGATGTTGAACAGAGTAAATGAGTCATAAAAAACACAAGGAAGTGATTATTATAAAACAGTGTGGAGAAGGAAAGGATGGTGACTGAGACAGTCACATGGAAGAACATCCGGGTGCCTGCCAATATATGATTTCTTGATCTAGGTGTTGTTTTCAAAGCTCTTGTCTATAAGGCTACTAAGTCACTAAACTATACAATTCTGTGTGTGCTTTTCTGTATCTGTGTTTATGTCACAATTAAAAAGGATAAAATTTATCACCTGTTTAGATGTCATGATAAAGTAAAATGGTTATAATCATTGGTTATCAATATGGTCTTTGAATATATTTTGTCTTTTTAATATCCTTCCAAAATATACACTAGACTTTATCACTAGGTTTTCAAAAATTTTGTATCTTGGGTATATTTAAACAAGGATATATATCTATGTATCTTCCTTCTGTTTGTGCATGTGTATGCTATTAATCCCCAATCTAAAATCTGTATCTCATTTTTCTTATGGGAAGTTAATCAATTTTTCCTTTGGTATAAAAAACAAAATAAAAATGCTAGTCCTTATATTTATTTTAGATACCTTTTTCAAACCTAAGGATACTTTGCTAGTTTAAGGGTACCACATCAACAGAACGTAAAACTAAATACAGAAAAAACTCTGCTAGACACAATTCTGTAAATAAAGATAAAACTGAAGCCAGGAATGATGGTACCAGTCTCTAATCTCAGCATTCTGGAAGGCTGAGAGGCAGGAAGATTGCAAATTAAAGTTTAGCCTGGGTAACTCAGTGACTTAGTGAGAGCCTGTCTCAAACGGCTGAGGATGTAGATCAGGGGGAAGGTCTTGGGTTCAAACCTCAGTACTACCAAAAAAAACAAAAAAACAGAGTAATACTATACTATGTTCTAAAAGTGAAGTATTTATAAATTCTAAGTCTACACACAAAAACTTAAGGAAAAAATTTTAACCACACTTCAAAAAATTTGCTGTTTTCAAAATAAAAATCTATCCTCTCTTACTTTCTTTTTTAAAACTGTCTTTAAATTAGGTACCTATACTAGGAATTCTGGGAGTTAACAAATATTTATCCACAGAAGTGTTTTAAAATTAGTAGAGAGTAATTTTTTATGTTTCACATACTTGACTAGTAATAAAATAACATTAAGTCACATACACATAGGGGTAAATCTCAGAGCACAAATTCAAATAATTTATTTAGGTGAATAACTTACCCAACTTAATATCTCCATCTAAGGTAAAGAGAATGTTGCCAGCTTTCAGATCTCTGTGGATGATTTTATTATCATGTAAATAATTCAATGCCTCCAAAGTCTGCTTGCAAACTACTTGTATTTGGGATTCAGTTAAAGGTCTCTCCAGTTCTATAAAAACAAAGTAAAAAAAGATCTGCATTCTTACACAATGAAAGCATAGCATCATGCATGCTACATTCACCCCAGTATATACCATCACTGTGGTCTTGTCAAGATCATATACAGTGAATTTATTTTAGAACTAATATCTACAAAGAATACTTTACTGACATAAAACTCAACATCTCATTTTATTTTTGAATTGTATAATTATGCAAGAATATAAAAATATAACTAAATTGATTTCTTAATTTATTGAACTTCATTGAACAATTTTATACATATAATAAATGGTTGAAATCTTTTTAAGCTTGATACAAACATAAAGAATAGAAAAGTATTTACCAAGCATCACAGCATCTACTGCTCCACCTGCACAAAATTCAATGAGGATCTGCATGCAAACAAAAAAGCATGTGTCTAAAAACGATATTGTTTCAGAATTTTTCTTCAATTTAGCAATAAAGATAAAGAAATGACTGTCAAATATTCTAGGTTATAGAAACAATATTATACTAAACATTAAGCATTTCTCTGTCAAAAGAGTTATAAGTTTTTTTTGTTTTGTTTTGGTACCGGGAATCGAACTCGGGAGCTTGCACTTGCGCAGCGGGTGGCAAAACCACTGAGCTAAATCCCCAGCCCAGAGTTACAAGTTTTAAATGAAAAATATTTAAGAAGTAACAAGACACATTGTGGACACAAGTACATTTTTACTACGGATCATTTTTAGTGCCCTTCTCTAAAATTACCAGGTACAGGACTTTTATTCAGTACAGTATTATATAAATATCTATTTCGTCATGACCGACAAGAGTTTATCACTATCATTTTAAGGTAGCTATTGTGAGTTAAGTGATCGAAAATATTAACCTCACTAATAATAAACTTTGCTGGGTGTGGCAGCACATGGCTATAACCCCAGTACTTGGGAGGCTGAGGCAAGAGGACCCAGAATTTGAGCCCAGCCTAGGTAACTCAGGGAGACCCTGTCTCAAAAAATAAAATAATAAGGGTTAGCAATATAGCTCAGTGGTAAGGTGCCTGCCTATCATGTGCAAGCCCTGGGTTCAACTCTCAGTACCACCAAAATAAAAAGTAAATCCTGAAAATATGTAGACTTTGGTTTAAAAAAAATAGTTTCAGATTCTAACTCACTTTCATTTGCTAATGGGTGCCTTCTTTGGCCCTGTGATAAGATATAACACTATGTACCTTCCTTAACCTTTATCACAGTTATAATTTTATATTTATTGTAATTCTTTTAATATCTGTGTCTTCTATTAAACAGTAACCCAAATTTTTATTCTGCAACAGTCCCAAGTGAAGATGTACTAAATTGTCTAAGAGTGCATTTTTATATAATCTTTGCAAATATTGTGCTAGAGCCCTGAACAACTAACCACAACATTTTAGAAGACACCACACTAATAACTTTAAGAAATTTTTTTAAAATAACATATTTTAACAAACTGTGTAACTCTCCTCTCTTTTTCTCACTATAACAGTATTTTTTACAAATGTTTGCCAATGACAAATTGTTTTCAAATTAATTATATTATTTAAAAAATATTTTGAGAGGTAGATATTTATTCATCTTGATTTCCAGTCAGATGTTCTTTAGGCTGCTTATTCTTCTCTCAGAATACTTTGTTTCTTCCTTCAAGGAGAAAAACTAAAACTCCATTTCAAAAAGCTCTCTTGATTAAGCTAAGGTGGTGTAAAACAAATGACTGGCTAGTCACCATGAATATTAACATTTTATTTCTATATCTATTGGGGCCTATTTTCCTAAAAACAAACAAAATTTACATATACAACTTAGCCACCATGCACTAAAATTGGACCTGATAATATATAATATAAATATTTAACATTTAAGTATTTTAGAGTTTATTACATCATTTACAAAAACTTTAGGATAAAAAATATAAACAATTTCTAGAAAAACAAACCTTAAAATTTGTTTTTTTTGGTACCGGGGATCAAACTCGGGACCTTGCACTTGCGAGGCAGGCGGCAGCACCACTGAGCTAGATCCTCGGCCCCCTTACAATTTTTTTAAAGAAATACTATAATTTAAATTACAAACAAGGACATCGAATTTCCTATTTTTGGAAATTTACTATTTAATATTCTTAAACAAGTTTTCCACCTGGACCCAAAGTCTAACAACCACAGTGAAACTGGTATAACCTGAAAACTAAATATGAATATGTTTGAAGCTGAGGGTAACTGTTGTTAGTGATGCCTTTGTAGGCAAACAAGTCTCATTAGACCAACTGTGTAAACAGAAGAGGCAATACACAAAATAGCTTTTACAACCTCTTTAAGACAAATAACTCCTTTTGGTTATTTCACAGACCAACAGAAAACACTTACCCAAAGGTTGTTCTCATAATAGAAAGCATCTAGAAGCTTGACTATGTTTGGGTGATCACAAGATGCTAATATATCAATCTCAACCATATAATCTTCGAGTTCTTCCTCAGATTTGGTGTCAATCACCTTTGCAGCAGCTAAAACATTGGTCTCCTTGTTTTGGGCCTAAAAAACAAAGTATCAGAACTTTGATAATTATAAGTGATTAATAAAATGATTGTTAGAGCAGTTTTAACTTCACAGAAAAACTGAACAAAGAGTACTGAGTTCCCTCATACACTGCACTCCCACACATGCAAAACCTCCCCCACTGTCAACAGTCCACACCAGGCAGTTATATTTGGTATAAATGATGAACCTACATGAACACATCATTAACACTCCAAGTCTACAGTTTACAATCAGGTTCACAGTTGGTACTCTACATTCTTGGGGGTTTCAACAAGCAGGTAACAGGGCATTATCATATACAGACGTTCTACTGCCCTGTGTCTGGCATACTCCCCACTCCCTTCCCCCTACTTCTAGCAAGCACTCATCTTTTTACTGCCTCCTTGGTTTTTGTTTGCCTTGTCCAGAATGTGAAATAGTTAAAATCATAAAATACGTAGACTTTTCTTTTCCTTTTGGCTTCTTTAACTTTGTAATATGTATTCAAGGTTCTTCTGGGTCTTTTCATATGTTGATAGCTTATTTCTTTTTAGTGCTGAATAATATTCCATCAGATGTCCTACAGTTTATCCATTCATCTAACAAAGGACATGTTGATTGTTTCCAAGTTATGAATAAAGTTGCTATAAACATGCACATGCAAGTTTCTATGTGGACATGTTTTTTTTTTCAACTCATCTGGGTAACTACCAAAGAGTGTAATTGCTGGATCCTATGGTGTATTTTGTAAGAAACTACCAACTGTCTTCCACAAGTGACCAAACTATTTTGCATACCTACTAGCAAAATGAGAACTGCTGTTGTTCCAAATCCTTACCAGCATTTGTTATTACTGTGGATTTCACCAGTCTAATAAGTATGGTGGCATCTTATTTACATCTGCAGTTCTCTTATCATGTCCCAGTCTTGGACTGCCTACTTGGCCTAGCTGAATTACTGCCCTATCTTAGCCTTGGTTGAGGACAGGGTGCCTGTAGGTCAGAGGCTCCTCTTCAGGCAGGCTACCTCAAACTGGCTGGATCTAAGGCCCTGCCAGGGACTCCCAGACAACCTCTAACTTCATCATAACTCATCTGCAAGCTAAGTAACACCAACCCCAGTACCATGACACTTAATAACTGTCATAACAATGACCCCAAAGCACCATGAAAGGAGCAGAGGCAAGCAGCATCCCAAATCCCCAGGAAATCTCCACCCATTTACAGAAAAGACATTGAATATTTCCCCCCTTCATAGGCCTATCCTTCCTCCTAATTTCTTTTACCCTGTATCAATAGCTTCTCAACCCAAAATAGGCTGAAAGTTGAGTTTTATCCCTTACTTCTATTCCTGGCCAAGAATAAAAATCTCCTTCATTGCCAGTTGGCACTTGGTCTTGTCACTGGCTCCACAGTTCCAGACAGGGGCAATGAACCCAGCTTGGGGTCAGAATTGGTAACAATTCCCATGGAGCATCCTTTCATATGCTTACTTGCCGCTTTTATACCTTTTTTGACAAGATATCTGTTCAAAACTTTTGCCCTTTAAAAAAAAAACAAAAGCAGGCTCTTCATTTTCTGTTGAATTTTAAGAGTTCTTTGTATATTTTGGATAACATTCCCTTTTCTGATATGTGTTTAGCAAGCACTGCAGTCTGTGGCTTGTCTTCTCATCCTCTTGACATGCTATTTTTAAAAGACAACTTAAACACAGTATAAACTACAGCGTTTTATGCACAGTGTTTATTCACACAGAGAATAGTGTTTCGAATCACTAGCTTTAGTGGGTCAGACTTTATAAGCCTATCAAATTCTGGCTTTGCCACTTACTAGCTGCACTGCTTGGGGCAGCTTAGAAAATCCTTGTTTTAGTTTCCTCACCAGTGAAATTTACCTACACTTTACTAGTTTGTGAGAATTAATATATATTTGCCAAGTGAAAAAATACATATAAACATTTCATACAATGTCTGGTATACAGTTATTCAAAACATGGTGTAATTATTACTATTATCGTTTAAGCTACAAAAGAATCCCAAGATATTTTATTAGCTGTACCTCAAAGGAGAATATAAATTAACTTGGGCAGGTAAAAAAGCTTCCTTCATACTTGTAGCTAGTAGGAGATAGAATCAGGATTTAACTCCAAATCTGTTTCCAAAAACGTTGATTTTTTTTTTTTTAATAATTACCTTTGAAGGGTACTCTAAATATGCCTCTTTAACAGATGGGTTACTTTGAGCTAAAGGTCCTTGAAAAACATATGCAAGAAGGGCATTTTCATCTTTTTTTCTTCTGACAAAAGGACATTAAAAAGAAAAAGAAAAAAAAATTCCAGGAGGATGCCCTCTTTGTACCAAAGAAAAGAAACACTTTTTAACGGAAGTCACAGTCCAGAGAATTCTGTACAAACAGACTTTGTTAAAACAATTTTTATCTTCCTTTAGTCTCCCACACAATTTATCTACTTTTCCATAATTGCCTCTCTTTGTTCAACCTAATACCAAGGAATCCAGATTTTGTCATTTCTTTGGGTCGTCAGTTCCTCTTGAGGGCTCTCATGCCTCCATACCCACACAAGCACGTGCTCACTCATGCACACACACACAAACAAAACATAAAATTCGTATGCTTTTCGCCTGCTAACCTTACGTCAGGTGGATTCTCAGGCCCAGCCAAGGGCTTCTAAAGGGTAAAGTTTTGCATCTCTTACACTTTTTCCAGTCTTGTATTTCCATCAGCTTTGGCATTTTTCCTTGCTCTTAGTAATTAAACTTTCAATTTTTCTGGTTTTGGTTGACTAACTTCTCACCTTCACTAATTGCAAATGAAAGATTTCAAGTATGAAGTAGAAGCCATGGCCTTTGTTTTAAAATATGTACTAATTAGGTTGTTTTTATAAGAAATTTTTATATTACATACATAACTTCAACAAAACTGCATTATGACCTTAAAAAAAGAAAAAAGGGGCCAGGTATTTAGCTCAGTGGTTTCGCCATCTGCTGCGCAAGCGCAAGGACCCGAGTTCAATCCCCCATACTGCCCCCATGAAAAGGTTAAACTTTTAAAAGGTAATTAACAGTTCAATAAATTTTAAAAGCCTAATCTTACTTTTAAGAACTTATAATTTCACAAAATAAAAAATATGCATACACAGAAATATGCATGAAAGCACTATTTACAATGTTAATAGAAAAAATGAATCTGCCTAAACATCTATTAACAAGAACCTCCTTAAATCATGTAGTACCGTTCTAAGATAGAAAATCAGTCATTAAAATTAAATAATTAATCAGTATTTAAAAGAGAACTGTAGCCACAACACATCACCAAAGGAAAAAATACAGTATGAAGCATATAATTTCACAAAAATCCCACATCAACTTTCACACATGTATGGCTTCATAAGAAATATGTGGAGTTTAGCTCAGTGGTTCCAGTGCCTGCCTCACAAGCACAAGGTCCTGAGTTCAATCCCCGGTACCCAAAAAGAAAGAAATATCTGGAGATACATTATCAGCAACAACAGTAGAGCTTCTGCATTTCCAATTTTTCTGCATTTCTCATACTGTTTTAATTTTTAAAGGACATGTATTCTTTTCACAGAAGTAATAAAGTACTTTAAAAAACCACTATGTAGGAGATTTGAGAGATATATTATCTAACCTTGGAGACAATGAAAAAAATAAAACAAGTATCAGCTACATATGAGAAATTCCTAAATAGAATATTGCTAAATTTTACTTTCTTTGGAAAAAATAGAGATAAAGTCTAATACTAAAATTTAGTGTTCAGAGAACATGTATAGGACAAAAAGATAACTTTATACTGCTCAATGATACCACACTAAAATAATATTCTAATCCACTACGTTTTATCGAATTTAGGATGCCTTTGAGATGCACTATTATGTATTTGCTAATCCACTAGGCAAAAACACCTGCTAATTGCATTATGCCAATACTTTATTATCTAGAATTTTTGTTATCCCTTTTGAAAGGATTCTTCTGGACAGAAACAAAAATTACTACTGCATAGCTACTATCTCTATGAATACATGAAAAATTAAATACATCTTTGTATTTAAGTTCTACTCTTCTAAATCACTTTTTTCAGTACTGGGGATTGAACTCAAGACCTCATATATAATAGACAAGCACACCCTGAGCTATGTCTCCTATCCCTGAATCAATTTTTGACTCAGAGTTATCTAATGTCTATGTTTTCCCACACAATACTCTCCTCCACCCACTAAAAGTTCTGGTGAATGTGTTCTTGAAAGAGCACTCCACTACTGTCCCCAAGATTTTCTTGGAATTTGCTGACTCTCATTTTACAAGTTATTATAAAGATACTTTCTTAATCTTACCCCGGGTGTTAAAAAGATTTTTCAAAAACAACCAGAACTCATGTTCTTTCTTCAAAAAGTCCTTAAACAGCTCTTACTGACTGAAATGTCAAGGAGTCACAACTGTATGACACCAGGGATACATGTACGTTCATGTTGCACAGGAATGACAGCTACTTCGTGACCACTACCTAGCCAACAATTATAGGATAACACTGACCAAATACATTTCCCATTTTCCCAATTTCTAAGATGTCAAAAAAAAACTGTCACAACTGGTGAAATATGGCATAAAAATTTGTCTCCTCAGAAAAGTACTGTAATTAGCCAATTATTAGAACTCACCCTCTCATAAGGCAGAGGAAATTAGCCATGAGAGATCAGCTCTTCTCCCACCATGTTAATGCAACACTTTGAGAAGGAAGAGACAAAGGAAACTGTCCTTGGAAAGGAACACTATAAATATGAGGCCTGGCAAGAAGCTGAGGGTACTGGAAGTGAAGTTACAAGTCATCTTGCTTCTTCATGCTTCTACAGATGTCCTGAGAGACTTTACAAATATATTTAACTTGTGAATGAAACAGGATTAGGGAAAGAAATGATTAACACTAGATAGTCTCTAAAGTTCATTATATAACAAATTCATTAATCTACTGGTTATACTGATT